TTAAAGTATATTAAAATATTGTCAAAATTCCACCCCGATTAATCTCCGATGTATTAGCATTTTATAAAAAATCGGTAATCGGTGACCGACCGAATAATAGCGAAATTTTGAACACAGGAAAATATTAAACACTTTTCTAGTTTCAGCGACTACACCCAAATGTAAATTTTTACTTCTTTTTTGTAATAAGGGTACCGATTGTTAGTTTTGCATCATGGTATCAATCCTTACACCTGCATTGTTTTGCACTTTTGCTAATGGTCACTGTTACACATCTCACTCCGAAAAGCCAGAATTGACAATACAAATCTAAGGAAAAGTGGCCTCAAATCACTAGTTTTATCTATTTTTTTACGTTGGCATGTCTGTTGACTCTTTTCGTATCATCATATTAGTATTTGCGAAGTGAATTTTCGGAATGGAGCCACCACGTTAACTCTCAGCCGCGGAATTACCGAGATACCCTTAATGAAAATCTTTCAATTAAATCTTCAAATTTTTCTTTTTTTATTAAAAAGAATTTGATTATTGACTTTTAATATTTTTAGATAAATATGTTAACTACCATATTCCCGCCTTATTTTTGGCAGATATTATAAATTTTAGGAAGATTAATAAATTTTAAGATAAATAGTAAACCCTAAGATTCTTAACTGACCATGTATTATATAAATAGATACGAAGTTGGAAAATCAACACAATTCTCATTACGATTTGCAATTCCTCTTTTTAATACGTAATTTTAGTTCTTAGATCTCATATTTCTTCTTTACATGTACTTAATTGTTTTAGTTCGATCTTAGTTCTAATAAAACTATTTATGAACTGATTATTTGTTATTTTCTGTCAATATCATCTATTGATCCGCTTCTAACTTCTTCCTCTCTCACTTTTGTAACAGAAAATTCATTATTTGTAAGCTGATGGAATCGAGAAGTTCATATATGGTCCCAAGCCAGAAGTATTCTTCCCAAAAATAGAGGGTATGAACTTTTCTTTTATCTTTTCTTTTATATATCAACTTAATATTCATGAAACCCTAATTCTAATGGCGAGATATAACGTTTTCTTGTTTTTTCAGTATCCATATTATTAGTTTCATAACGTTTTTTTTTTAGTATCCATATTATTAGTTTCATAGTTCATATTAAATCTTAAGTGTGACTTTATTGAATCAGGCACCTACAATAAGCTTTTATGGTATGATAAGGTATTTAGGAAGAGGTATACCGTCTCCGGACTTGGGCCGAGGACACACGAATCTAGAATTTTGGTCAAAGTTTTGCGTGGATTAACGATTACGCAACTTCTGCTAAAAAACTAGAGTTTATACTATCTGATGAAGAGGTATCAGATGAAACAAAACAACTCTATGATAGATAACATTGAAACCGTATTCATCTTTATAATGAATGTATGATACTGTGCATGTTTCCGTTTACGACTAAGAAACAACTCTACAAGCAGCTCGAGGTATGTTTTATCTATATCCGTAAAGACGTTGCCTATAGCTTTGGTTTTTATGTCTGTGTTTAAGCTTTTGGATTCATGAAGCTGCAAATAGTGGAAATAGTGAAAGTGATTCTAAATCGTATTATGAGTTTCGAGCAAAACCGACTCAAATTTATGAAAATTAATAAAATAATATATGAACCCTAGCTCTAATAACTCTCTCTATATATATGGCCGTGAGCCCGTAACTAACAAAAACGGCCATCTTCGATGTGTTCTTCCTTATCCGTTTTATGCTAGATTGCCAATATGTTTTATCATTCGTATCTAATAATCTGTTTTTGTGATTTCTTTAATACAGGTTCAAAAATTGATATGATACAAAACGTCTTACAAGCCATGGCTTTGTGACCTCTTAATCTGAAAACTATGCCATGATCCCATCGAGATGTAAGTCTTCGTTACATTACATAAAAACGTTCGTTTTTTATGATGGATTATGGATTACGACTTCGGTAATGGTAGTAGTTATTTTTTTTTAACTCTCTTTGGTTACTTAGACTTCAGAATTCGGTTCTCTACCTTCACTCAAATTGATTCTGTGCACAAATTTTTCGATTTCCCGAATTCATGTGCATGCTATCTGAACTCTTTGACTTTGGTTTATTTTTAGATAACACTAAATATCGTTAGCCCAAGACTCTCTCTATGATCCCTAATCGTCTATTAATCATAGCTTCTTCTTCAAGAATCATCTTCTCTTAAAAAGAACGCCTTTCCATTATTCTTCTGCACCAATTAGTCGAAGGCTTCCGGAGTCTAACAGTTGGCGATGCGGTTGAGTTGGACATCACACAGGGTAACGACGGTAAGACCAAAGCAGTCGAAGTCACTGCTCCAGGTGGCGCTCCTTTTAACAAGAGGAAGGAGATTACCTTTCATGGTAACGGCATAGCCAAAATCTTCATACAAAGCTGAACATAGCCAAAGCTAAGCTCAACGAGACACAAAAGAAGTTGACTTTTTATGAAGTAGAACTTGATCACAGAAATAGCTATTGTCATGTGTTTTGATTTTGTTATATATCTAATATCTCACATGGTATGATTTAACCTCCTTCCTATCTTTTGAATCATTTGTAACAGCATTGATAAATCTAACAGACTGAGTTCTTGGAGATTCTTGAGCTTCCCTACAGTCAAAGTTTTTTCACCAATGAATCTGTTTGAGCTTAACTCGATAACTCTAAGTTCAGGGCAATCTCCAATATCGGAAGAGATAGTTCTGGTGGTGTTGGAGATAACGAGATTCTATAGTGAGCTAAACGAAGAGATGTTAAAAGGGAAAGGTAAAGCCATCTGAACAGAGACGACATTGGTCATTGTAACAAGTTTATATGAGGAGGAACACCTGATGTAAGGCCATCCCACTGGGTCGGAGTCAGAGGGATTCCAGCCGGAGAATGTTGTCGGTGGCGAACTGGAGCTGTGAAGCCAAGAAATCAAAGCAGCCAGTGAGGAAAGAAAGAAGGTGATAAAAAAACTAGAAACAGTTAAGGCTTTCTTGGAATCGGCAACTACAAGACTAGATGAAGGAGTATGCATAGAGTGGGTTGTAGTGGCAGAGCTTGAGGGACTCTAAATAGAAATCCTCCGTTGAATCTTTGTCTATAAATTTAGGGTTTCAGAACCGTGAGAGTGTACATTAGGTGCATCAAGTCTGGAACTGTCCTAGCTTAAAAGTAAGCAAAAGAAATATGTCACAAGCTCATGTTTTTACACAGACTTTTGACGTTAGGTTGCAGAGAAGTCAAATACAGTAGAAACTCAATAAATTAATAATGTCGGGTATAGGATATTTTATTAATTTAATGAAATATTAATTTATCGAGAGATTATTGGATCAAAAACTTGATTTGGGACCATACAATTTTATTAATTTACCGAGTTATTAATTTATCGAGTATTAATTTATAGAGTTTCTATTGGTTTTGTATTTTACTTTGTTTATAATTGGAAGTTTTGTGAATAAGGAAACAAGTACTTTAGACACACAGATTTGAGAAATCTATACCATCTCCAAAGACTTAACAACTTATACCTGAATAAACCGGTGACATGTTGATTAAGTAGAAGGAAAACATAAACGATAACTTATCAACACAAAGACGATGGTTAGTGGTGGTATATGTCAAGATCCAATATGTCTTATCCAAGATAAAAAAAATGAAGAATAAGAATACAAAGCTAGTTAAAAAACAAATTGTAAATAAAAAGAAGAAAACGAATAAAAAGATGGTAGAAATTGAATGAAAAAAATAGAAAAGGAGTATAGACAAAGTAAAAAATGAACAAGATAAGATGGGGTTATGATGTACAATTTATAGTGATGGGTTTAAGGTTTAGGTTTTGGTGCATTTTCAAAAAATTGAGTACAATGCATTACCGATTAGAAAAATGATACTACATTTAAGAAAAAAAATAAAAATAAAAGTAAATACAAAACCAATTATTATGGAATATTATTTGAATACATCAACATTGCCGATTAAATCATACATTGTAGAGTCCAAATATTCACATATAGGAATGCACAAATCATTCCAATGTTAAAATGGCGGCGGCAACAAGAGTAAGTGAACCCTTCGCAAATGAGAGTCATGTTCAAATACATTCGTGATTCCGGACAGTCTCTTTAATGTGGAAATAAAATGAAACTGTCAATTCTCGAATGCCTCATCAAGAGTCTACGAATCTGTTTCCAAAAGCCCTTCAAGTTTGTTGATTATAGAAATTATCCTTAACACTTCCTCTCTAAGATTTCTGACTTGGACAAGGATCCATTTCAAAGGATGGGTGAACAAAGAGTTTGTAATCTTTACTCGAAAGATTATCTCCTCTGATCATCTTCTCTGAAATATATTACCAGGAAGACGAAGAACATCGTAAAAAGAAGTATAACATCGTGCGGTTTAGGGGAGAGTTATAACGTGGGGGTTTCGGTCTACAGTCGTTTTGGGTTGGGGGGGGGAGAGTTATAACGTGGGGTTTCGGTCTAGTGTAGGGTCGTTTTGGGGGGAGGGGGAGAGTTATAACGTGGGGTTTGGGTTTAGGGTGTAGGGTCGTTTGGGGGGGGGGGGTGTTACAATGTGGGGTTTGGGTTTTAGGGTGTAGGGTTTACTTTTTGGTGCATTTTAAAAAATCTGAATGATTATAGAAATCAGAATTATAAATCATTGATTATAACTTTTTATCTACCTTTCTAAATTACATTCACAAATACAATTAAAGTAGATCCAGAAACGAAAGATAACAAAGATTTTTAAAAGATCTCAACTATATAAAGATAATAAAAAAACTATTTCATAAATCCTTGAAAATCTAAACTATCAGATGAATTGATAGGTGGAATACAAGACGTACACAAGAACTAATAAAAATGCGAGTAAAAGAAAAGAAGTCAATGGAAAAGAAGATGAGAATTATGGAGAGGAAAAAAGAAGAAAAATCGAATATGAGGAAAAATAAATCAAAGAAGAAAACATGGAATGTAAAGAGATAAAAAAAAAGACAAAGAAGAGATAAATAAAATCTAGAATAATATGATATCTCTGAAGACGAAGATGATAAAGATAGAGAGTGAGGGGAATGAGGAAGAAGAAAAAACGTAAAAAGAATGTAAATAAAATTATAAAGAAAAAAATAATAATAGTAAATTGGACGATATGAATTTTTTTGTGCTTTCACAATTTATAAATTCTTATCAAATTAACAAAATGTTAAGTTATTACTTCCAAGGAAAATAGACACATTACAAAAATATGAAAAGTAATTAAAAAGAAAATGCGTTAATCTAATATTAATTGAATTCATGAATTAACAAAATCTAAACTATAGAATGAATTGATAAGTGAAATACAAAACGTAGACAAGAACGAAAAATAAGAGTACGAGAAGAAGACGATGGAAAACAAGATGGGAAACTCTGAGAGGAAGAAGAAAAATTAACATGAGAAAAAAAAAAATGGAATGTGAAGAAAAAAAGACAAAGAAGAGATAAATAAAAACTATAATAAGATGATGTCAGAGAGACGAAGATGATAAAGATAGAGAGAGAGAGGGGGAATGAGGGAAAAGAAAAATAAAAAGAAGAATAGTGAGTTAGAGAAAATAAAGACTGAAAAACCAATTGAAGAACAAAAATTGAAAGATGAAGAAGAAGCAGAAAAAAAGAGATGATGACAACGTATAAAAAATGGAAGAAAAAAAAAAAGATGGGATCACTAGAGAAGAATAAAAGGGAGAAGAAACCAATCAATAACAAAAAAAAAAGCAAATCAAAAACTAATTTGTAATATGAGGTTCAGGTGTGAAGTTGAGCGGGTTGTTATAATGTGGATTTGGGTTTAGGGTGTAGGTTCTTTAATTAAGGGGAGGAGGGGTTTATAATGTGGAGTTTGAGTTTAGGGTTTAGGGTTTATATTGATGGGTGTAGGGTTTAGATTTTGGTGCATTTTTAAAAATTTGAATTATTATAGAAATCAAATTATAAATCATTGATTATAACTTTACATCTACCTTTCTAAATTACATTCACAAATAGAAAAAAAACTATAACAATTAAAGCAAATCCAGAATCGAAAGATAACAAAGATTTTTAAAAGATCTCAACTATATAAAGATTAAAAAAAACTATTTCATAAATCCTTGAAAATCTAAAGTATCAGATGAATTGATAGGTGGAATACAAGACATACACAAGAACTAATAAAAATACGAGTAAAAGAAAAGAAGTCAATGGAAAAGAAGATGGAAATATGGAGAGGAAAAAGAAGAAAACTCGAATATGAGGAAAAATAAATCAAAGAGAAAAAATGGAATGTAAAGAGAAAAAAAGACAAAGAAGAGATAAATAAAAACTAGAATAATATGATGTCTCAGAAGACGAAGATGATAAAGATAGAGAGTGAGGGGAATGAGGAAGAAGAAAAAACGTAAAAAGAATGTAAAGAAAATTAGAAAGAAAAAGAAGAATAGTAAGTTGGAGGATATGAAGACACAAGAAAGGATTGAAGAACGAAAATTTGAAAAAGAAGAAGCGGGAAAAAAAAAGATGATGACAATGAATAATAAATGGAAGAAAAAAAAAAGATGGGATCAGTGAAAAAGAATAAGAGGGAGAAGAAAACAACCATTACAAAATTTAACTAATTTTTTTGTGCTTTCACAATTTATAAGTTCTTATCAAATTAACAAAATGTAAGCTATTACTTCCATGGAAAATAAACACATTACAAAAATATGAAAAGTAATTAAAAAGAAAATGCGTTAATCTAATATTAATTGAATTCATGAATTAACAAAATCTAAACTATCAAATGAATTGATAAGTGAAATACAAAACGTAGACAAGAACGAAAAACAAGAGTAAGAGAAAAGAAGACGATGGAAAACAAGATGGAAACTTTGAGAGGAAGAAGAAAAATTTAACACGAGGAAAAAGAAAAAATGGAATGTGAAGAAAAAAAAGACAAAGAAGAGATAAATAAAAACTATAATAAGATGATGTCAGAGAAGACGAAGATGATAAAGATAGAGAGAGAGAGGGGGAATGAGGGAAAAGAAAAATCGGAAATAGAATGTAAAGAAAATTAGAAAGAAAAAGAAGAATAGTGAGTTGGAGGATATAAAGACACAAGAACCGATTGAAGAACAAAAATTGGAAGATGAAGAAGAAGCAGAAAAAAGAAGATGATGACAATGAATAAAAAATGGAAGAAAAAAGAAGAAGATGGGATCAACTAGAGAAGAATAAAAAGGAGAAGAAAACAACCATTAAAAAAAAGCTTTTATAAATAAAATAAAAATAAAAGCAAATCTAAAACTAATTTGTAATATGAGGTTCATGGTGTGAAGTTGAAGGGGAGGGAGTTATAATGTGGATTTGGGTTTAGGGTGTAGGTTCTTTAATTAGGGGGAGGAGGGGTTTATAATGTGGAGTTTGGGTTTAGGGTTTATATTGATGGGTGTAGGGTTTAGTTTTTGGTGCATTTTTAAAAATTTGAATTATTATAAAAGTATATCAAAATTAAAAATCACTGATTATAAATTTATATCTACCATTCTAAAATACACTCACAAATAGAAAAAACTAAAACAATGAAAGCATAACCATAATCAAAAGATAACAACACAAATTAATTAGATTTTAAAAATCTCGACTATATAAAGATAAAAACTATTTCACGAATCCTTGAAAATCTAAACTACTGAATGAATTGATAAGTGAAATATAAGACGTAGACAAGAAGGAATAAAAACACGAGTAGAATAAAAGAAGACGGTGGAAAAGAAGATGAGAAACTTCGAGAAGAAGAAGAAAACTCGAAGAGAAAAAAGAAATGTGAAGAGAAAAAAAAAGACAAATAAGAAATAAATAAAAACTAGAATAAGATGATGTCAAAAAGACGAAGATGATAAAGATAGAGAGTGAGGGGAATGAGGAAGAAGAAAAAACGTAAAAAGAATATAAAAAAATTAGAAAGAAAAAGAAGAATAGTAAGTTGGAGGATATGAAGACACAAGAAATGATTGAAGAACGAAAATTTGAAAAAGAAGAAGCGGGAAAAAAAAGATGATGACAACGAATAAATAAAAAAAAAAAAAAGATGGATCAGTGAAAAAGAATAAGAGGGAGAAGAAAACAACCATTACAAAATTTAACTATTTTTTTTTCTAGATCTTTCACAATTTATAAGTTCGTATCAAATTAACAAAATGTTAAGCTATTACTTCTTGGAAAATAAACACATTACAAAAATATGAAAATAATTAAAAAGAAAATGCGTTCATCTAATATTAATTGAAATGGAATTCTAAAACATCTCTTGCCGCGCAGGCGCGCCAACCACCTAGTACATATATATATATATATATATATATATATATATATATATATATATATATATATATATATATATATATATATTCCTTTAACTGCTTCAACAAATAAACGTACAAAAGGAAAATTATAGCTTGCTAAACTTTTTGTTTTTTCTGGGCATTGCTAATTACTAGTATTTGTTTTTCAGATATTTGTTGTGCAGCTGTAGAAGTATCTAGAAGATCATCAATATTATTATCAAATATTGTATATTTATTATATAGAGATATTTACATATTTATGTATATCTAGTTTAGGAAATCTCTTTAGTATATAACTATGTAACGTTTTCCTTCCTCTCTTTATGAGAGTCAATAATACTTCTTCCTATCATATACTCTCATCACATCTAATATGATATCAGAGTAGGTTATGCTCAGAGAATTTCATCTAGCGATTAAACTCTATTTTCTTTATCTTTTCTAAGCCATATGCTTCCTTCATTCGAGTCTACCATAGACCTCTAAATCAAACTTTCTCCTTTTTTTCATTCTTTTTATTTTATGTTTTAAGCTATATGTTTTCAAATTCAAGTTCATCATAAATCTCTGAATCATTTCCTGAGAATGATTCACTCTTCTCAATTCAAGCCATGTATTTCTCCCAATCTTAGGATTTCTTAAAAAAAAAAAATTAAATAAATAAATGATTTTCTTGTTTTCTTCTCGTTTCTTCATCTAATTATCTGTTTTTATCTTCTTATTCCTTCTAATTTCTTATTCTTAAAAACAAAAACAAAAAAATCATATTGTTTTCGTTTTCTTAAGCCAAAGTGCTTCTAGATTCATTTATATACTGCATCATCCACTTAAAAAAAAAAAAAAATGAAATCATCTTCTTCGTTCAATGCTTGTCCATGGCTCCACGTGTCTTCCTTTGATCTATCCGCTGTAGTGCACCGTCACCAATATACAACCTTTCATCACTTTCCATTCCACCGCTCCGGTCACACCATTCATCACACCACTTCCAACGACTCCACCATGTCATCACCGGATCTCCATCTCACGTGATTCTCCACTATTTCACTTATCTATGTCAAAGTTGGGAGAATCCGCTCTACCCCTCCACTCTTCCATGCTAGATTCTGTTATCAATCTCAAGCCGTTAATTTGGTCATATCTTCATAACCTGAGCTTAAGGGGGCGTGTAGAAGGATCTAGAAGATCATCAATATTATTATCAAATATTGTGTATTTATTATATAGAGATATTTACATATTTGTGTATATCTAGTTTAGGAAATCTCTTTAGTATATAACTATGTAACGTACTCCTTCTTCTCCTTATGAGAGTCAATAATACTTCTTCCCATCATACACTCTCATCACATCTAATAGCAGCAAGTGAAACTAGACATTGGTAAAATACAAATACTATTTGTTCACATATTTTGAATGCCTCCTAAAATTGTGTTACCCCTTTTTCTGGTTCAACTTCTTTGTGTTTTACTATCCCATCTGTTTAAACTACCAAAACTCATACATGATAACGGATAACGGATAACTCATATTACGGTCTCTAACAAGTAACAATCGTTCTTTCTACAAGAAATTGTTTTTTGTCTCTGAAGTGTTCTTGAAAAGTGAGTGATAGCTTGAAGGAGGATCACATCACGTGAAAGCTTCAAGCACCTCTCATTGATGAGATGTATGAGCAACCATTTCCTGCAAAAGATGAAGTTGAACACCAAAAGATGTGGTTATATGCTTATTCTTGCTTGCTTATTCTCAAAGTGAAAAGATGATTATCTAATGCTTACTTCGGAATAACGGAAGTGATCTCTGTGCATGTAGGAAGTCTTAACAATAGTTTCCCACTTGGTAACAACCTCCCTGGAGTTTTCTTTTGGATCCTGCTTCTGGTGATGGAACGGATGATATCTACGTGAAGGGATATGAGGTGTTACTGAAGGCAGATTATGGAGAAGCCAAGAATCAGAAGGCTTTTTCGGCGACGGTGGTGCAAGAAGAGACCGATCAGGACCGTTACTGATCTTTCCTAACTCATCATCACCATCCACAATGCTAATCTTTTCGAAAGCTACAAGCTCAAGATTTGCATCCGGTTTCTTAACTGCTTCCTCTGGAGAGATCATGACATTAGAGCTATGCTCATCATTGGTCATGGGAACATTCTCCAAGAGAGAAGTGCTTATGTTTCTAATATGCTTGTTCAGCCTGTTAGCTCTCAGGTTCTCTGTTTCCTTACGAGTCTCAGCGAAACTGTTACCATTACAGCGAGAGTGTCTGTAAGGAGATGAAGACCTACACGCAACACTCAGATTTGATTCAGAGTTAGACTTCTTCCCAACGCTTTCATGTACCGGAGACTGAACTTTACCACCCAGCTTCTGCTTAGAAACTGAATAAAGAGCGAGCTGAAACATTGTACAAGAGTTAATAATAGTCGGAGATTAACTTTATAAAGCAAACTAACAGGAGTCTTAAAAGCTGGAACCTTTTTAGCAGATTGGAATTTAGATTTGAGTTGAGAAGCTTTGCTTGACTTCACTTGATCATGGCTTGGGGATGTTGCTGGAGACTTTTGTTTGGCTTTAAAACCAAGCACTGTGTTCAACATGCCTAGAGAGTCTTTAAAGCAGAGTTGTGGCAACATTCCACAACCTCTCTTTGAAAGATAAGCGTACTCTGAAACTTGATCATCTTCACCATCCTCCTCCTCGCTTTCTTCATCATCATCTATGTCTTGGTGGTGGTAATGAGAATATGGGACTAAAGCAGACTCATCACACCTAGTAGGAGTTGGTCGCTTCTCCTGTATCGTTGGCTCAGACATAAAACTCGATGGTTTACGGTTGGAAGCATAGTGAGGCTGCTCCACGGTCATGGCTTTAGCAGCTGGTAAAAAACGATTCAGCATGAAATCCCTAGAATCCTCAGAAAGGTTTAGTGGTTTCTTCTTCTTCTTCGTTTCAACAACACCACCATATTCACTCACACCACTGATGCTTTGGTTACAAGAAAACGAGTCTTTTGGAGAGAGTGTATCATGTGCATCAGAGAACACATCCTCTGATTCTTCTTCTTCAACTTGTTGTTTATCATTACTCTGAAATCTCGTCACTTTCCCCGGTGGAAGACATGGTGTGAAGAGTTGCTGCTTCGATTCACAGACTTCATGAGGTCTTAAATCGTTTTCTTTTAGTCTCCCAGGAGCTTGCTCCCATGTGAAAGGAACAGAGGCAGTCTCAGTAACCTGATCTAAGCCAATCTCTGAGACAAGAACTTGAACGGAAGAAGAAGAAGAGTCATCAGTAGTAAACTTCTTTGTCTTGTTTCTACGAACAGAGACTGCTGTCTTGTGCATCCGCCTTGTTGAAAGCAGAGGTGCGTTGAAGTTTAGTTTCCTCTCCGCCATTAGGAGGTGAAGGAAGTTGCTAAAAGTGGCTCACAGAGCAATGAAACTCATTGATGAAGAAAAAGGTTTTTTTTTATATCTGAAAATAAAAATCAAACACAATAGTTTTTCAGTAATCTACATTGTATCCATACAAAAACCATATAATAATCAAACAGATTATATGGAAATAAACTCTCTCTCTCTCTTTCTTGGTGGATTATCTGAAGAATGAAGAAACAAACAAAACGAAAAGACCTCTGCGTGAACTTTTTTGGCTGCTACTACTAGAAACTTCAATTTAATATATATAATAATAAACGCACACCGCTAAATCAAATTATATCATAATCACTTTATCATATGCATACAAAACTGCTAATTCATACCCGTGATATCAATCATTGGGAGGTTTATTATCGCAATTGAGTACTACAACAACCCATAATTTCACAAGTGGCGATCTTATAACCGATGTAATCGAGTAGAGTAGCGAGAAGAGAAACTCCGTTACTGAAATCATGAACAAGACTTTGATGCTGAATTGAAATTAACCACCAAGGAAGAAATTAACGCTCCGGAGAAGATAATCTAATGAATCAAAAATCTAACCGATAATCAGCTAAATCAGTCAAAATCTAATCGATAATCAGCTAATCAATCACAATTTACAGAAAAAGCCAAATCAACGTAACCGGAAAGACGAGACAGATCGGAAGAGAAACTAACTTGAAAGTGCGAGAGAATCGTCGGAGTCGCTGAGAGGAAGAGGCTTGAGACTTAAAAAAAAAAAAAAAGAGTATACGAGAGTTGAGTAAGCGTAACAGAGAGAGAAGGAGAAGCTTTTGGGGAATGTGCCGTGAAGATGAAGGAGGAGAAGAAGAAGAATAGTCGCTAATTATTACGAGTCACGGGCTGATCTGTAGGATTTCTTTGAGGTGGGACAGTTAGTTATTTTTGCCTCTCTTTAACTGTTTACGCTTTTCTTTGCCTCTCTTCATTTACTCTTTGCATTTGGTCAAAATCGACTTTGCCTCTATCTACATTTATGAAAAAATTATACAATTATGAGTGCCTTTTTTTTAACTTTTATTGGCAATTTTATTGGGAATAATTTAAGGTGTGGACCGACAAGTTAGAGAATGATGAGAGCAAAGAACTTTTTGGCGCAAGTCGTAACTAACTTAATCTATCATTTTCAATCTGTAATCGGTTAAGAATAATAATAACTCCTCCAGGATGAATAAATAAATACCCTCACCAACTTAACTCGCTTGTTCTTTCAATTGCCGTTATGTTATGAAACCAGGAAGTTAAATTTAATAATAAGTGCACAACTGTCCTTATAACCTGAGATTATTTTGAATATACAGTGGTATTTAAGTAATGTATCGCGAATGGTTCTGATTCCACCCTTCGAGCTAAGTTCAGCTCGAGTGGGTTTTTGGTGTTAAGGCCCGGAGTTACAGAGAAAGAGGTTTGGGCCTACGGTTTAAGTGAAGCCCAAGTGCCACCTGTTAAATAGAGAAGAGATAAAGTTAGTTAAGGTTGTTCGTTGACTTGTATCATCTTCTCCGTTGTAACAAGATCGAGCTCCGCGAGCTGATCATCTCTGTAACGAATGATCTAGTGAATCCGGAGAAAGTTCCGAAGAGAGACGTACCTGGTGTTGAAGAGGGGAACTCTATAACATCTCGTGTGTGCTCCTTTATTTCTCACATCTTCTTCTTCCTCTTTTCTTCAAACACACGAGTGAGAGAGAGAGAGTTAGATTCAACGGAATCGATCGAGTATCGGCTACAAGTGGTATCAGAGCCAGGTTACGCGCACAAGGAAGATACTCTAGAAGGATCGGGACTTACACGGAGAGGAAGATCGGAAAGTTTCTCGGACCCCAGGAGAAACGACGACAGCGGATTCACGCGAATCGGATCGGGCTTCGATCTGAGATAGAATCCAGGGAGTTTCTCGTTTACACTTAGCTCACCTCCTAAATTCTCCTTATTCCTATTCGTTTCTCCATTCCATCTCTTCGATCGTCTTGTTCACAAGTCTTGGATTGTTGATATCCGTAATTGTTCACTACGACCTGTTTTTTGTTTACCTGCAGGAGACAAAAGGAAACAGATCAAAGAAATAGTTATGGATCCTACGCCAGGGAGATTTGAGATGGACAAGTTCGACGGCAAAGGGAATTTCGGAATGTGGAAATACAAGTTAATGGGTCAGCTTGAGATTCAGGGTTCGTCAGAGGTTTTGACAGAGGGAGCTACGTTGTACAAGAGTTCAGAGAAACAGGAAGAAGGATCTGCACCAGTTTTAGATCCGATCAAGGTTGCTAAGAACGTGAGGGTAAAGAATCTACTTGGGTCATGCTTGAGTGATGTTATCTTGCGAAAGATTATGCATGAAGAAACAGCGCAGGGAATGTGGAAAGCGTTGGAAAGTGATTACCAGACTAAGTCACTGCCAAATAGAATCTACCTCAAGCAGATATTCGCTAGCTACAAGATGGAAGAAGGCAAGTCTATTGAAGAAAATCTGGATTCGTTCCTAAAGCTAATTGCGGATCTAGCTAGCCTGAACATCAAGATATCCGATGAGAACCAAGCAATTCAAGTTCTCTCGGGTTTACCTGCACCATACGAGCCCCTGGTTCACACGATCAAGTATGGCATGGATAAAGATACCATCACTCTGAAGGAAGTCATAACGTCAGCTTATGCTAAGGAGGTGGAGCTGAGGCAGAAAGGTCTACTCGGCGGCAAGTCCAAGTCATCTTCAGAGGGTCTGTATGTTGAGAACAGAGGAAGGTCAGAGAAAAGAAACGACTACAAAGGTGGAAACAACAACAGAAGCAAGAGCAGAAACCACGACAAGCACAGGTCAAAATCCAAGCCTAAATTTGGACCTAAGGCGTGTTGGATCTGCGGAGATGAAAACCACTGGAAGAAAGATTTCCCCAAGAAGAAAGGGAATCATCACAGCAAGCCACAAAGTTCCGCTAATGTGGCTACAGATCTACCAGATGTCATTGCCCTAACTATCAGTACTCACGACACTAAAGAACAGTGGGTGCTTGACTCAGGTTGTACGTTTCACATTACACCTAGGAGGGATCTACTATCAGACTTTGAGGATGTGAAAGAAGGAAACGTACTAATGGGAAACAACTCAGTGTGCAGAGTCAGAGATAAAGGCAGTATAACGATTGAAAACCAGGACAGGACAATGATTATACTGAGAAACGTGAGGTATGTACCTGATATGGGGAGAAATCTAATCTCGTATGGTCAACTTGAAGAGTCTGGTTGCAAGTACAGTGGTGGAGACTTCAAGGTTGAGTTCTACAAGGGAGACAGAAAAGTGTTAGTCGGCAAGTATGATCAGGGTTTGTATTATCTACAAGGGAAGATCAGAGTACCTGAGTCAAACGCAGCAAAGGCAGTTGTGGATATGACAAGAGTTTGGCACTCAAGGTTAGCTCACATGAGCCAGTCGTCTATGGAGACTCTGGTCAGAAAGGGTTTCCTGAAGTCTGGAGAAGTTAAGCAGCTTGGGTTTTGCGAAGCCTGCACAATGGGGAAGTCACATAAGCAGAGTTTCAAGAAGGCAAAGCACACAACAAATGAGATTCTGGGGTATGTTCTTTCAGATCTATGGGGCTCTCCTAATGTTACACCAAGCCTATCGGGGAGCAGATACTTCCTAACTATGATCGACGATTATTCAAGAAAGGTTTGAATATATTTCCAGAAGACTAAGGATGAGTCATACCAGAATTTTGTAGAGTGGAAGTTGCTGGTTGAAAATCAAACGGGGAAGAAGCTGAAATGTTTAAGAACAGATAATGGGTTAGAGTTCTGCAATCAGCAATATGACAAGTTATGCAAGGATTCAGGGGTTAAAAGGCACAAGACGTGTCCCTATACTCCACAGCAAAATGGAGTATCAGAACGCATGAACAGAACTATAATGGACAAGGTTAGAAGCATGCTACAGGAAACAGGCCTAGAGAGTGAATTTTGGGCAGAAGCAGCATCTACAGCAGTCTACATTATCAACAGATCTCCGTCATCAGCTATAGAGTTTGAGGTACCAGAACATCTATGGACAGGTCACAAGCCAGACTACAGTCACCTAAGGAGGTTCGGGTGCATCTCCTATGTGCATACAGTGTCAGATAAGATCAGTCCAAGGGCAGTTAAAGCAGTTCTACTGGGTTATGCACAAGGTACTAAAGGATACAGGTTTTGGCTACTAGATGAACAGCGAGTTACTATCAGTAAGGATGTGGTATTCAATGAGAATGTGGTCTACAAACAGCGAGATGCAGTGGAAACAGTGACAGTTGAGTCAGTTCAGGCAGTCAGTAAGAAAGGTAAGAAGAAAGTTACCTTCAAGGATGATTTGATAGAGGATCAGGCAGTCAGTCAGTCGCGTCAGGATCAGTCGACTCCGTCTTCAAGTCAAGGTGGAGTTCCTCAGGACACAGAAACGGCAGAAGAATCAGATACTTCAAATTCGTCAGGGGAAAGTGACAGTGATAGTGGGAAAGAGAAAACTGAAGACCTCAGTGAGTACCTTCTAGCCAGGGATCGCGAAAAGAGAAAGCGCAGGCCTCCATCAAAGTTCGGTGAAGCTGACATCGTTGCATATGCTCTGATGTGTGCTGATTCCATCAACCTGGATGAACCTAAATCATATGCAGAAGCACAAAGAAGTAAGGATAAGGTTTTGTGGAATGGAGCAGAAGATGAAGAAATGGATTCACTTCACAAGAATCACACATGGGATCTCGCAGATAGACCTAAAGACCAGAAAGTCATTGGATGCCGATGGCTATACAGGCTTAAACCAGGGATTCCAGAGATAGAGCTACCTAGACACAAAGCAAGGTTGGTAGCTAAAGGTTATGCTCAGATAGAAGGTATTGACTACAATGATGTGTTTGCGCCAGTGGTAAAGCATGTGTCAATACGGATAATGTTGTCTATCGTTGTCAATCAAGACATGGAATTGGAACAGTTGGATGTAAAGACAGCGTTTCTACATGGAGTCCTACATGAAACTATCTACATGGAGCAGCCTGAAGGGTATGTAGTTAAAGGGAAAGAAGATAAAGTGTGTCTCCTAAAGAAGTCCTTGTATGGACTAAAGCAGTCACCTAGAGAATGGAATCACCGATTTCACAAGTTCATGATCAAGCAGAAGTACAAGCGCAGTGAATATGACCCGTGTGTCTACCGAAAGGGGAAGTCCTATGCAGATATGGTTTACCTACTACTATATGTGGATGATATGCTTATCGCGTCAAAGAGCAAGTCAGACATCAAAGTTTTGAAAGCAATGCTAAGTGCAGAGTTCGAAATGAAGGACTTAGGTCCAGCAAGGAGGATTCTCGGCATGGATATAATCAGAGACAACAAGAGAGGTGTTCTAGTTCTATCGCAGGAAGCCTATCTACAGAAACTACTCAAAACGTTCAGTATGTGGGATTGCAGAGAGGTTCAGACGCCATTGGGTTCGCATATCAAGCTACAGGCACTAACACCACAACAAGAGGTTGAACAAGCAAGGGAAATGGATAAAATACCTTATGCGAGTGTAGTCGGAAGCTTGATGTACGCCATGGTTGGCTCCAGGCCGGATCTCGCATACGCAGTTGGAATGGTAAGCAGGTACATGGGAAAACCAGGAAGAGAGCATTGGTCAGCGGTTCAGTGGATATTGAGATACTTAAAAGGTGCAGCAAGCAAGTGTTTGACATTCACAAAAGACTCAGAGCTAAAGGTAACAGGTTATTGCGACTCGGACTACGCTACAGATCCAGATAAAAGGAGATCTATCACAGGATACGTTTTCACAGTTGGTGGGAACACAGTAAGCTGGAGATCGTGTTTACAGAAATTTGTGGCGTTATCTACAACAGAGGCTGAATATGTGGCACTATCAGAAGCAAGCAGAGAAGCAGTTTGGCTAAAAGGGATTTGTGAAGAGTTGGGTTTCAAGCAAGGAGTAGTCAATATTCATTGTGATTCACAGAGTGCAATCTATCTAGCGAAAAATCACATGTTTCACGAAAGGACGAAGCACATTCAAGTGAAATACAACTATATTAGGGAAGTCATTGACGAAGGTGATGTACAGGTTCAAAAGATTCATACTTCAGTCAATCCAGCTGATATGTTGACGAAATCGTTACCTGGAGACAAATTCGGCGGATGCTTGCAGACGCTGAAGGTTATTGGAGCTTGACCAGCTCCGTTGGGGTCGTCGTCAAAGATCTGTTGGCGATGGCGGTCCCGGAGTCTTGGCCGCTGGTTTGTGGTCACGGAGGATCAACAGAGAAGGTTTGACATCGCCATGGAGTTGGTAAGGTCAGATCGGAAGTGCAGTCATCTCAGGTTTGCAGCTGACTGTGAAAGTCTTCAGATCCAGGGTTAGGAACTGAAGCGGCGGATCTATCTTCACTCACGGCGGTTTGAGTTGAAGCTAGTGAGGAGATGACCGGAGGTTGAGTCATCGAAGTTCCCGGAACTGGATTCCACTAAGGCATAGTCGGATCGGACATGCAAGGAGTTGAATCGAACCAAGGTGGAGATTTGTCGCGAATGGTTCTGATTCCACCCTCCGAGCTAAGTTCAGCTCGAGTGGGCTTTTGGTGTTAAGGCCCGGAGTTACAGAGAAAGAGGTTTGGGCCTACGGTTTAAGTGAAGCCCAAGTGCCACCTGTTAAATAGAGAAGAGATAAAGTTAGTTAAGGTTGTTCGTTGACTTGTATCATCTTCTCCGTTGTAACAAGATTGAGCTCTGCGAGCTGATCATCTCTGTAACGAATGATCTAGTGAATCCGGAGAAAGTTCCGAAGAGAGACATACGTGGTGTTGAAGAAGGGAACTCTATAACATCTCGTGTGTGCTCCTTTATTTCTCGCATCTTCTTCTTCCTCTTTTCTTCAAACACACGAGTGAGAGAGAGAGAGTTAGATTCGACGGAATCGATCGAGTATCGGCTACATAATGCGAATATGATATAATGAAGTATATGCAATTTTGTTATCATTGTCACATTGTGTATATATCATATGGTTTACATTTGAACAATCATATTCATCCCAATAGATAGTAATGTCTTACATGAATCCAAAATGTAATGATCATGTGGTTTACATTTGTTAAATCATCCCAATAGATGGTAATTTGTCGGAGCATAAGCCAAAGTTCACATTGTTTAAAACAAACAAAATAATCACATTGATATAAATAAACTATGTTGTACCACTATATATTGATATAGTGGATTCTTGTGTTTAATAAATAAAAGAAGATGGTGCAGTAGAGAAAAAGATTTACTATGTAAGAGAGAAGAAGAGGTTTCGTGGAGAGTATTATGTGAGGGAGAGAAGTATATAGTTTTTAGTTTCTTTTGTATTCAACTTATGTTAATAATGTTACAAGAGGCTCCTCTATTTATAGAAGTGATGAGGAGGTGATAAGGGAGAGGAAGAGGCGGTGAAAAGAAGAAGCGGTGAAGAGGAAAACTTACAGCCAAAGTAAATGATAAAATACTGAGGGATAATTATCCCTTTTTAACACACATTACTTTCTTGTTCTCTGTCTTCTACTACTGTAAAGTTAGTCTTTTGAATAAAAGAGAATGATGTCTAATATGGATCCAAACTATAATGATCATGTGGTTTACATTTGAACAATCATATTCATCCCAATAGATGGTAATGAATCCAAAATGTAATGATCATGTGGTTTACATTTGTTAAATCATCCCAATAGATGGTAATTTGTCGGGGCATAAGCCAAAGTTCACATTGTTTAAAACAAACAAAATAATCACTTTTCATTGACTAATTCCCAAAAATCCAAAATAATTCTTTTCACAGAAATAAATTAATCTTAAAATGTTAAAAATATCCAAAATAAATTATTTTTATCGGCTTCAGTTAGAGTGTCATCTTCTTTTCTAATCATTTGTAAATGCTTTGCAACGAAATAAGCCAATATTTTATACTTTCTGTGAACCTCACATAAAAATGTTCACAGGTACAAAGAAAGACAATCCAAGATTAAAATTCAAAGCGAGCAAAAATTAACGAAATATAACAAAATAAAAGCGTCGTCTTAAATATTAAGCAGAGAGAGAGAGAAATTAGGGAAGGAAGAAACAAGATCCTTAGACAGAAACACATAAAAAACATTTTCAGCTCTGCTCTTGGGCTTCTGCAGCCTCCTTCTCTTCGTTGGCTGCTGCCATTAACTCATCAAACTTCTCAGACTTGGCCAGTGTTATCTCAATCTACAAGTCCCAAAAAAACCCACAAAATTTAGCCAACAAATACATCAATATCACAGAAACAAAACGTCATAGAATCAATGAAACTATCAAGCTTCAATCCCACAATGATACCTTGGCTTTCTGCACAGGACGTCCCCTAGAGTCATCCTTGATATCTACCGTAGAGGTCATGATCTCTATAGGAAGAAACCAAATTTTCCAAAATAAGCAAAAGTTAGTCACTGAATCTTTTGTTAACAGTTACTTAAGTCATTCAAGATTGAGGGAAGATGTTACTCTTTTCAACAGCAAAACCATTGTTCTTCAATATCTCGGCGACGGTTACAACAGTAGCAATGGCTGCACAAAGTAAATGTTTTGATGAGAAAACCATAATCATCTCAGACAAGAACAAGGGATTATAAATCTCATGAACGATAAGAGTTAATTGCTAATCTGAAAAACTTTGAAAATTTCATGAAACTCAGTTACATTTGCTTAAACCATAACATCACTAGAAGGAAAATAACATTACCCATTCCGAGTGCAGACAATTCGACATCTGTGTACTGCTGCATGTACCTCTGTGAACAAACAAAAACAAACAAGGTCAATAACATAAACACGTTTAAGCAAATCCAAGAAACAAACATTCATAAATCTAAGTCACAGAACATCATCAATAAGCTTCATATGTTACCATTTACAGATAAACCTCATAAATGTCCGTATGAGATTATTAATTGAAAGTGTGGCTTTTTTATTGTGAGACACCATAGAGATACAAACTCACGAAATTTCCAGATATATACAGAAATAGAGTACTCATTACGAACAGTTCGAATCGCTAATAATGAATTCATCCGCAATCGGTTTTGAAGGGGTTTTGTACCTTGGCGAGATTGACGTAGAAGAACAATGGCTTCTTAGTGTTGGAAACCTGAATCCGATTCTTCTTCTGGGTATCAACGGCCAAGTTCATGTTGTTGACTCCTTCCGTGATCTCTTCCATTGAAACTAACTCGAAACAATCACTTCTCTCTCTGAATTAGATTTTCTCTCCCACTCTGTCTTCCAAACGATGAAATTTGATAAGAAAGAGACGATGAAAGTTCTCTGTGAGAACCAAACCCCCAAAAAACCCTAAATCGAAAATCTAAACGACACCGCTTCGATATATTATAATAGGCCGGGCCCAAATGGCCCAAGAAGAAATTGCGTAGAATGAAGAAAGATAATATTTTGGACATTATTGGTTATCGAGTATAACGGCGTTATCCGATCAGATTGATTGCAATTGCTCGCCGGAGAAGAAGACTCAAATCGAAGACTTCGATTGATTCTAATTTCTCGCCGGAGACGCCATGCCGGTGTTCAAGGCGCCGTTTAACGGCTACTCAGTGAAATTCAGTCCCTTCTACGAGTCACGCCTCGCCGTCGCCACCGCTCAGAACTTCGGGATCCTCGGAAACGGCCGGATCCATGTGCTCGATCTCTCCCCTGGAGCTCCCGGCGTCACCGAAACCGTCGCTTTCGATACATCCGACGCAGTATACGACGTCTGCTGGTCGGAATCTCACGACTCCGTACTCGTCGCCGCCATCGGCGACGGCTCCGTGAAGATATACGACACAGCTCTCCCTCCGCCTTCAAACCCGATTCGATCCTTCCAGGAGCACGGGCGCGAGGTACACTCCGTCGATTACAACCCCACGCGGCGGGATTCATTTCTCACGGCGTCGTGGGACGATACGGTGAAGCTCTGGGCCATGGATCGTCCCGCGAGCATCAGGACATTCAAGGAGCACGCGTACTGCGTTTACCAGGCGATCTGGAACCCGAAGCACGGCGATGTGTTCGCATCCGCTTCCGGTGACTGTACCCTGAGGATCTGGGACGTGAGAGAGCCCGGATCCACCATGATCATCCCTGCTCACGATTTCGAGATACTCTCCTGTGACTGGAACAAGTACGACGACTGCATTTTAGCCACTTCTTCCGTGGACAAGACGATCAAGGTGTGGGACGTGAGGAGCTACAGAGTTCCTCTGGCTGTGCTCAATGGCCATGGATATGCGGTGAGGAAAGTGAAATTCTCGCCGCACCGAAGGAATTTGATTGCTTCTTGCTCGTACGATATGACTGTATGTCTCTGGGACTACATGGTGGAGGATGCTCTGGTGGGTCGTTATGATCATCACACTGAGTTTGCTGTTGGGATCGATATGAGTGTTCTTGTTGAAGGTTTAATGGCGAGCACGGGTTGGGACGAGCTTGTTTACGTATGGCAGCAAGGGATGGATCCGAGAGCGAGTTGATTATTATAAGTTAAGCCTGTGAATGATTCGAAACACTTTCCTCTCTATTTTATTGTGGAAATTTGGTTTAGTCGGAATAAAATTTGGGATCTCGCATAAAAACATTGTAATTGATGGAAAAATTTCATATATCAACACAAAGGTTTTCTTTTTGAGTTGATTGTTGATGATAGATTAGACCTTTGTCTGTTCTGTTCTTAGTGTGTACATTAGCTTGTTGCAATAAGCACGCACTTGCTTATTTATGGTCCCTTCTTTTCTCAAGCTCTGTATATGATATGAAGAATATCGAAAACAAAAGAAAGTTCATATACTATGTTGCAAACCCAAGAGGATGTTGCAAATAGATAAAGCTCCTCGTTTGATATTGCAGGAGTCTTGCAGCAAGACTATGTAATTACTACACCATAAAGAGTCTTATCTAGTTAATTCAACAGGCATACACGGTTTGAAGATGATTGTAGTCTTTGTAGTTATTGTGAAACTTGCAACTTGTTGGTGCTTCATTGCGTCTTACAATGTGTGCCTTGAGTTGGGTTAGAGCACCTCCAACGGGGGGTATCAGGCCCAGTTTTTAAGTGGGTATCAGCTACTTTTGTTTAAAAAGAAAAAGTTTTAATCTGAAATAAAGCCTGATACGTATTCAAACGAAGGAACTTTTCAGCCCTTCTGATACCCTAACGTGGCATATTGTGATTGGTTGATTCTAAAGAAATTAAAAACATTAAAAGAAAAAGGAAAAGGCTAAATTCCTGAAATCGACATTCTTCTTTCATCGACGTTTTCCTGGTAAAGGAGAATCCTTCATCTCCACCGCCGAATCCGATTCAATGACCACCGGATTTCTCTTCTCCATGCCATCACTTCGTTGCCGTGTTGGAGACCACCGGATTCTCCATGCTTTGCGGATCGGCGAGGTTAATGCTTATTAGCCCCTTTTAATTGGATCATTCAATTTGATAATATGTGAGCTTTATATTTCTCTCTTCTATGTTCGTTTTTGTCTCTGCATCAGCTGGGTTCAATTCGTTTATAAGTGTAATGAATCGTGTTCTGCCACTTATAGATTCAATTTGTCTTGATTGCTTTGATGTCTCGGTTTTGTAAGTTTCAATTTTTAGGATTGCGGATCATATATATTTTATAGCTGCATGTGATTTTCTCTGCTTTTGGATGTGATTTTGTTCATACTGAATTTTGCAGGCGCATGCTAGTTTCTGAGAAAAACATGTTTGAAACCTCATATAGTTTCTCAGATATTTTGTGATGCTTTAACTCTGACTTGTAAACTCATTGGTTTCTTCTTCTTTAAACAATTTGAATGCAATTTACAGCTTTTGAAATGATTATGTGTTGGTTCCACTTAAATGATCTTGGTAGGTGGTGTTGGTTAAAGACTGATTAAATTTTTGCAAATTGCAGGAATTGAGTCACGAGTAAAGAGAAGAATGCTATTGTCCAATGTCAAAGGGAGTGCGTCAATCAAAGATAGTTATCAGGTACCTGTCTTCACCTTTTACGTTTTGTTATTGCAATTGTTATAATTGCTTGTGAAACTAGGCATGATTTCTAGTTTGTTTTTCGTTAAAGGGAATAATGTATTTAGTTTACAACCTACGATTGAAAAGGAGAAGAAAAAAGGGTTGTTAGATTAGGACCAGATGCTTTCTTGTTTGAATTCTTGCAATTGTGATTAATGCTTGTCAAATCATGACTTTGTAGATATATGTCTTTCTATGATCAATGCTTGTTAGTTGTAGGTTAGTCAATGCTTGTTAGTTGTAAGTGCCATTGAATGCTTAATATTATCAAAGACACTTAACAATTTTCCTATATAATCAACTGATAAAACATATGTCAAAACACATCGTAAACCTTCAACCACAACTTCTCTTCCAAGCTCAATCTTTATTTGAGAAACTTAGAACATGGATCCATATGGTCGTTCGTATGTGGATCCATTTAGTCAACCTAGAACTTTTCTTGGTCTTTTATCATCTCAGCAAGAACCCCAAATCCATGAGACGTCTTCCCCTTCGATGGGACTTGGATCATCACAAGCCCCACAGTTTGAGACCCAAATGAGTGAGGAGACTGAAGAGATACCAGAGGGACGTACCGAGAGACGCAAATGGAGTCAAACGGAAGACGTTGTGCTATGCAGCTCTTGGTTGAACACCAGCAAGGATGGTGTGAAGGGGAATGAGCAGAAAGGAGAAGCGTTTTGGAAACGCATAGGTGATTACTTCAACAAGTCTTCGAATCTCGATGGTTTTCAAAGAAGATCACCCAACAACTGTAAGCAGAGGTGGCACAGGGTAAACGCGGAGGTCTGCAAATTCGTAGGATGTTATGAAATGGCACAGAGGCAGAAGAGGAGCGGATTCAATGAGTCTGACGTTATGAAGGTGGCTTACGACATCTTCTTTGCAGATCACAAAGCGAAGTTCAACCTTGAACACGCATGGATAGAGCTTCGGAATGATCAGAAGTGGTGTGCACATGCAACTTGCAAGGGCGATGGAAGCTCCAAGAAAAGGAAGCTTCCTGATCAATCTGCAAGCTCATTCACACCGCAACCAGAGGATCAACAGGCCCGTCCTGAGGGTGTGAAGGCAGCTAAGGCGGCAGCTAAGGCGAAAGGCAAAAGAAGTATGAGCAACTCAGGCACAGCGGAAAGCGCAGCTCCTTCTGGGGAGGATTTTAAGAACATGATAACAGTGAAAGAAAAGGACCTGGCTGTGAAAGACAGAATGACCAAGGTCCATCTGCTTGAATGTCTGCTTTCAAGAACAGAATCACTTACACCAAGTGAGCTGGCCCTGAAGGAGAAGCTCGTAACTGAAATGCTTTCTAATTAGTTAGTTTTGAAGTCTTTGAGCTTCAATAAGTGTTGTTTCTCTGCTTAGTACTTCTAGTTTCGGTTTATGTTTTACTTGTTTGTTTGTTTAAGTGTTTTAGTATAAGTTAATGAAGCTTTGTGTTTGTTCCGATGGTTTATTAATGAAGCTTTGTGTTTGTGAAATGAATTGTGTCTTTGGTTAATTGGTTGAATGCTCATCTGTTTGGTATGTTTGTTGAATGGTCAGTAAAACAAATAAGCCGAGCTACTAAGCTTCAATTGTCAAAGATTCAAAATCAGTAATTGAATTGTAAAAGCTAATAAACCAAGCTACTATGCTTCGAATGATTCTACTAAGCTAATAACATTTTCCTACAGTTTTCTTCTGTTGTTTTTCTTCTTTGAATTTGATGGTTAGCTATAGATTGGCTTGCATGAGAAGCACATGACCAGACAAGCACTCCGAGATATCAAGGCTCTGTTAACTATACAAGGTACGAGTAAAGATCATTTCTTCCTTATTTTGCAGTTCCCTCATCAGATGAATGATAGGCGGTCCATTTCGATAATCAATCGCTTCAAATTCTGTAAGATAATTCTTAACTATTTTTGTTCTACATTCACAACAAATGATAATGCATTAGAACTTTAATGCATAAGTCGAGCCTTTGATAACATTAGAGCTTTATCTGCTTTAATCGAATACATCTTGTTTGTGGTTTAACATTAGAGATTCTTCTTGCTTCAACTACTGGTTTTGTTGTAAGATAATAGAGAATGCATCTTGCCTCTGGTTTACATTATAGATTATAGCTATAAATGCTCCTGATTTGAGTTAACAACATAAGTAGATTGATTATTGTCTCTTCTTTTTATGTGAATCACAGGTGCAACAGTTGGTGAAACAGGTTTGGCTTTTTATGCCGACACACGAAAGTCCTCAAGAACCATCATATGTTTATTCTCGTGCGGAGACAGTTGTTTCCCCACAGTTTCCTCTTAGTTTTCTTATGCCGACACACTACTTTACCAAAAATGTAGCTATTTACTTGTGACGTTGTGAGGAGTAAGTGAATTGGTCTCTCCACTTATTCTTTGCCTATATATAGTGCTTGTTATGCTTCTTCATATATGTACTTTTTTTTGTAAACTTCTTCTTCTTTGACAATTAAATGAGGTCTCCTATTTCTTTAACGTTTCACGTTTTCTTCTTCTTTGACAAGTAAACGGCTACTCAATGTTGCAGAGGAGCGTGGATTTCCGGGGATGATTGGGAGCATCGACTGTATGCATTGGGAGTGGAAGAACTGTCTCGTCTCTTGGAAGGGCCAATATACCCGTGCCTCAGGAAAACCGACAATTGTTTTAGAGGCTGTAGCTTCATATGATCTTTGGATCTGGCACGCGTTTTTCGGACTTCCAGGTACCCTAAACGATATCAATGTTCTTCAACGTTCACCGGTATTTGATGATATTATAGAAGGTCGAGCTCCAAAGGTGAATTATTGGGTCAATGGACACAAATATAAGTTGGCATACTATCTCACTGATGGTATTTATCCTAATTGGGCAACGTTTATCCAATCAATTAAAATTCCTCAAAATCCCGTAGATTGTTTATTCGCTTCATATCAAGAACATTACCGAAAAGATGTGGAGCGTGCTTTCGGAGTCTTGCAAGCTCGATTCGCCATTGTCAAAAACCCGGCTCTTTCATGGGATAAGGTAAAAATTGGGAATATTATGAAGGCATGTATCATTCTGCACAATATGATAGTCGAAGATGAACGAGATGGACACTCTTGGTAATGTATCAGAATTCCAACAACAAACAGGAGACAGTAATGCACAAGTGGAGTATAATGATGTCACTAGAGGAGTGCCTATAGATATCGCCCAAACGCTGGCCAATCGATTTGAAGTTCATGATTCCATAAAACATCAGCATTTGAAAGCTGATTTGGTGAATCATATATGGCAAAAATTTGGTCCAAAATAAGATTACAATTTTTGAAGTTTCAATCATGTATTGTAGTTGTTTAGCTATTGTAATTGCATCTATTGTAATCGTTTTATGGTTAAAGCTTTGTAAGTTTTTATTATTATGATTTGTTGTTAAGTTTTTTATTAAATATTTTTATTAAAAATAATTTTTTATTTTTTTAGATACTCTGTAGGGGTATCACCAATGGAAAGAGCAAAAGATAAATAGCAAACCCAAGTCTCTTAAACAAAAAGTTAACAAAAATATTAATAAAAAAAATGTTGTGATACCCATATGAGGGTATCACTAATGGAGATGCTCTTAGAAGAATAAATAATCTTTGATTTGGGATTTGGTCTGAGTAGATTGGTGAAGAATCGAGAAAATTATGAATTTTGGGTGAAATTTCATTTTTTACTAATAATGGGTTATATAATTGACACGCGGATCCTCTTTTGACCCCAAGCAAGCAAACAAAATTTGTCAGATATAAAAAAAAACAAAAAAAGGAGAAAGAAAGAGTAGAGAAAAATCTGGTTGAGGAATATTGGCGAACAGTTAGTGTGCGAAACAGTTATGCCTTGTTCGACTGTGTCTCGGCTGCTTCTCAAGGGACTCGAGAGACTTTCTCTGGTAAGCTTCAATTCCGCTTTGCTCTTATTCCTCTCTAGGTTTCGTTCTGTCTTGGAGAAGATAGTTTATATACTAACTACTACTACTCACGGCAGAGACCCAAAAGGAGCTTCTCATCATCTTCCGCAACCACTCCGTATTTGACGCTGGGGACTAAACTTAAGCAAGATTTGCCTGACGGTAGCGAAATCAGAGATGTCCTCTACTTCGATCCGAGCAACGAAGATGAGATGGTTACAGTTGCAGACAAAACATTCCCCAAAGAGCTCGTTACCTCGAGACAGATTGGGAGTTGTCTTGGGTGGGGAGTGTTCTATAACGAAGGCTGTTTACATCTGAGCGAAAGTGCTTTTATATGAAGTGCTTTTCGGTTTCCGTTACAAAGTTTTGCAAACCAGTGAAAGGCTTGTGACAGCTATGGTTGCTGAATATTATAAACAAAACATGACCGCTTTGTGATCGTAAATATCTCAGGTTTGTGTTTAGTTAATTGTCCAGATTCCAGACCCACCATGGGACAAATAATCCAGCCACCCACCACATGATGTCTATAGAAAATTCATAAAAGATAATAGTTTTCTTTTGTTTTTGGGTGTTTTTAGTGGTTGACTAATTGACTTAGATAGCAAGAGTCTAGACGGCAAGAGTCTATATATTTACTTTCTTGCAAAACATGAGAAGCACCAAAACACTATAACCAAGAAAGAAAAAAAAGCTTTTTGAAAAATGAGAAGCATGAGATTGTTTCTTTTACTTGCTTTCGGTGCTCTCATATTACTTGAAGGATATGGGTTTACTGGAGAAACTGATAAGCAAGGGTTGCTCGAATTCAAGTCTCGAGTTTCTGAAAACGGAAGAGTTGTCCTTTCCTCATGGAATCACTCAAACCCTTTATGCAACTGGGATTACATGTGGCCGCAAACACAAGAGAGTTACTCGTTTGGACCTCGGAGGATTGCAACTGGGCGGGGTGATATCACCATTTATTGGTAATCTTTCGTTTCTCGTATCGCTTGATCTCTAATAACTCTTTTGGTGGTACCATCCCTCAAGAGCTAGGAAAGTTGTTTAGACTGAAAGATTTGAATATGTTCTCAAATTTTCTCGGTGGAACGATTCCAGCCCGTCTGTCTAACTGCTCTAGATTGTTAGGTCTTAGTGTAGATTCAAATGATCTTGGAGGAGGTATTCCTTCAGAACTAGGGTCATTGACAAAGCTTGTCATTTATATCTTGGTAAAACAACCTGAAAGGGAAGCTCCCTGCATCTCTTGGAAACTTGACATCACTCACAGAACTTGTCATTGGAGATAACATATAGAAGGAGGAATTCCGGATATATAGCTAGACTGACTCAAATGGTGACTTTTGAAGCATCACAAAACAATTCTCAGGTGTTTTCCGCCTGGAATCTACAATTGTCCTCACTCAGTTTTATACTGATGAATGGTTTCTCAGGTAGTCTGAGGGCTGATTTTGGTAGTTTGCTACCAAATCTTCAAATTATTTTGAGAGATAATAATCTCACTGGTCCCATCCCAGCAACACTTTCCCAATATATCAACTCTTCAAGATTAGATCTCCAGGTAACAATCTAATTGGAAGTATTCCTCTGAGCTTGGAAAAGCACGGAAATTGCAATACCTAGTCTTTCTATGGTAATTCTTTGGGAAGTACTCTTTGGCGATCTTGAATTTCTTGGTGCTTTATCAAACTGCACCCATCTACAGAATTAATATTGGTGAAAATAGGCTTGGAGGTGACTTGCCTATCTATTGCCAATCTGTCCAGAAACCTCATTTTTAACTTTCAAAAATTTCATCTCTGGAAGCATTCCTCATGAGATTGGGAATCTCATAAGCCTACAAGACTTGGTTTAGAGAAATAGGTTAACAGGAACACTCCCAACCTCTCTTGGGAAGCTTTCAGATTTAGGGGGAATAAGTGTGTTCAAACAGAATGTCTGGAGAGATACCATCTGCTATAGGAAACATCACTCGGTTAGAGACTGTATTTGTCCAACAATATTTTTGAAGGAACCGTTCCTCGAGTCTCAGCAATTGTAGCAATTTGTTACGATTACATGTTGGTTCTAATAAGTTGAAAGGGGCTATACCGGTGGAGATTATGCAAATGTCATCCTTATTTCCCTAAATATGTCAGGTAATTCCTTTACCGGCTCTCTACCAAAAGATGTTGGAAAATCTCTTGTTAACTATCTGTTGCGCATAATAAATTGTCGGGACAACTCCCACAAACATTGGGAAAATGTCTCTCGATGGAAGACTTTATCTGCAAGGAAACTTGTTTGATGGACCCATTCCAGATTTAAGTGGGTTGGTGGATCTTCAAGAAGTTGATTTGTCGAGCAATAGTCTCTTTGGAAGTATTCCGGGATATCTTGCAAATTTTCCAAGTTGCAATATCTCAATCTGTCTGTTAACAATCTTGAGGGAGAGGTGCCAACAGAAGGAAAGTTTCAGAATGCCTCTATAGTTTCAGTATTTGGGAACACAAATTATGTGGAGGCATCAAGAAACTGCAACTAAAGCCATGCCTCATTCGACATCAACCTCAACCAGTGGGTACAAAGCATTCCTCTCTTTTCAAAAAGGTGATTGGAGTAAGCATAGGCATTGCCTTGATTCTGCTTTTGTCTTAGCTTTCGTTTCTCTACGTTGGCTGAGAAACAGAAAAAGAACCAGCAGGCCAATTCTGAAGCTCCTTCTACTTTGGAGGTCTTACATGAGAGGATAAGTTATGGAGATCTTCGAAATGCAACAGATGGCTTCTCTTCGAGCAATTTGATTGGAACAGGCAGTTTTGGTACTGTGTTTAAAGCATTATTACCAGCGGAGAATAAGGTGGTTGCAGTGAAAGTTCTAAACATGCAGAGACGTGGAGCCATGAGGAGCTTTATGGCAGAATGTGAATCCTTGAAGGACATAAGGCATCGTAATCTTGTGAAGCTATTGACGGCTTGCTCGAGTACTGATTTCCAAGGAAATGAATTCAGAGCTCTCATCTACGAGTTCATGCCTAATGGAAGCTTGGATGTTTGGCTTCACCCGGAGGAAGTTGAAGAGATTCATAGGCCTTCAAGAACTTTAACTCTTTTTGAAAGACTCAACATTGCAATAGATGTGGCTTCTGTCCTGGACTATCTCATGTTCATTGTCATGATCCTATAGCTCATTGCGATCTTAAGCCAAGCAACGTTCCTCCTAGACGATGATAACTGCCCATGTTAGCGACTTTGGTCTGGCTCGGCTTCTCCTCAAATTCGACAAGAGAGTCTTCCTCAACCAACTAAGCTCAGGTGGCGTCAGAGGAACCATTGGCTATGCTGCACCAGGTAAAACTATCACACATATGCAATGTTCTTTATGAAGAAAACTAGTAGATTCTTTCTTTTATTACAATCTTGTTTCTGTGAATGATGGTGCAGAATATGGAATGGGAGGGCAACCATCAATACATGGCGATGTGTATAGCTTTGGGGTTCTCCTTTTGGAAATGTTCACTGGAAAAGACCAACCAATGAGTTATTTGGAGGAGATCTTACACTAAACAGCTACACCAAGTCGGCATTGCCAGAGCGAGTGTTGGACATTGCAGACAATCGATTCTTCACACCGGTCTCAGAGTCGGTTTCCCTATTGCTGAGTGCTTGAACTGATTTTGGAGATGGGACTTAGGTGTTGTGAAGAATCTCCGACGAACCGGTTGGCAACAAGTGAAGCCACAAAAGAGTTAATCTCAATCAGAGAGAGGTTCTTTAAAGCCAGAAGAACATACCGACGTTGAAGCGTTTATGGTGTTCTCAACAAACTCTGCAAGCCACTTAAAAGCCTGAATCTGAGGCCTATATAATGCATATCGTTTTTATAATTAATCTGTTGTTTGTCTGTTTAAACATACTTAGAAGGCTTGCAGAATATATAGTTAATGAATGCTTGTGTTATATGCAGACAAGAGATGAATGTATTATCAGATTTTTTTTGTTTCAGTTGTGTTTATGTTTTCGTTTTCTCTGAGTGGTTAAGATTAGTTTTTTTCGTTCAAATATGGGTTTTGCTTACGTATAAATCGGATGTTTCTAGCACTGTGCAGGATTGAAATTCTGAGCCATGGCTTGGCATAAATGTTCACATCCTGTTTTGATCCGTTAGCTCCTGAAGAGCCTCTGGCTGATTGATATTTTCCTTGAAGAAGTCTTTTGATTATCTCCATGACTATGTAAGTAATTTCCAGCTTCTATTACATATTACTGAGAGAATTGAACCGCGGAATATATGATAATGGCGATGCTAATCAAAACCGAAACCTTAGTTATGAACTATCGTCGACGACCTTGTCAGCACCACCAGACAGCCATGATATTACTAACTTAAAAACAGAAGTCTGTTCTATGGAAATGCTTGTCTCATGAACTCTCAGTACATTTGTTTGACCAAAGTTATTCAAAAGGGTTTTGAAACAAGTATGTTTTCTTCCCAAAATCATATGAAAACTCAAAACTTTTTATGCTTTGATCTGTAGCAGTCGCAGATGTGTAAATGGCCTCTGACCGATGGTGTTCCAAGCCACCTTTCATGGCTACAAGCTTGAAAGACTGTACCTTTGCAGCCGGGTCATGTCTATTTCTCACACAAGAGATCAAATCAGCTTCAACTTATTTTTCACAGCACTGGTATAACTTTGATAAGGCATTTTTATAACTTGTAAGAGCTGTGAAAGACCAAGTCATGGAGAAGTCTATGATCCTGAAGAAGTGTTACTATTCCATATTTTAATGGTTTAGTTTGATCATTTATTCATTTCAATCGGTTGGTACTTGGTTAAACAGTTTCTACTTGCAATCAATATGTAAGGCCTTTCGTCAAACAGTTTTCTTCTTATCACTCTCACTCTCTTTTTCTCAAACAATATGTAATCGTAATTTGGCAGTGGATCACCTAGTTAATAATGCTGGGATCACACACGTTTCAATGTTCCCATTCTTGTATCATGACTTCTTCACCTAGTTAATAACGATTTGGGGAAGAAGATTTGGGGAAGAAGCCATCCTTTCGTAAGAATTCAGATTTTGGTATCGTATAGGTATTTAGCTATGGTTATATATATATATATATATATATATATATATATATATATATATATATATATATATATATATATATATAGTTATCTGTCTTAAAATTGGTCAATGTGGTATCATTTAGTTTCATTTATTCATATGTCTTAAGATGTGTCAGAATTTAATTTCCATTCAGATTCTCACTATAGTCTCCTTTCTCTATATGGAAACTAAAATATGGATGGCTATAAACCATTTACAATATTTTATTTTCTTATAAGCAGAAACTGTGAGACCCATATTTTTGTGTGAAAACGGTCTAAGATTTGTTGTACTTCAAAAAGTATAAAAATAAAATCTTGGATAACTACACCTATTCCACTCATCATTATTCCTCTAATTATAATAATTCCACTTAAACACCACCATTTGCACCATTTTGTTTTAGGCACAGAATCAAAAGTTTGGTTTTTGTTTAGCATTTTGACAATTAAAACATATGTTCCAGCGAAAGAAGAAAGTAATCTATTTAACCTCTTAAAAACAAAACATTGCATGCCCTAGTAGCAAATGTTTTTTCATCTTTTTTGCGATGAACAAACTGTTATCTAGTGTGCTAGATGCATATTTTACTTCTATTAGTTTAATAATGACATTCTCAAAGTTAATCTCTCTCATCATCTAAAAAAATTACATATGAACTCAAATGTCTTCTACATGACATGAGAAATTTTTTTATCTTCATTTATTTTATTTCTAGACCATGTAATGTGTGACCCACTTACAAAATTTGTTAAGTTTTCTATGAGCAATTTTCCTTATTATGGTGTAACTTTTGTTTTTGTGATTAAAAAAAAACTAACTCATGATCTATATAATTCTTCATAACTAATTTTGTAGTTCTCCAAATGTTTTTATATAAATCTTTCAAATCTAGTTATTAAATCAACATCAATTTTTAACAAAAATCAAAGAATTTTGTTTAATCTTTGGATTTGTGATGTTTTTAATTCCAATCTTGTTATATTTTGATTGTTGTTATATATAAATTAGAGTTAATACAAATTTTATACATGTTAAGTTATTTTCTTTTTGGTTGGTATTAAAAATATATATTTTATTTTATAAACTATTTAATACAAAAAGTCTATATTATTTTTCAATTAGGAAACTTTCTTGAAAAAGAAAAATAAATTACCTTATTTTATATGGTGATGTGGAATTATACTATTGGTCGTTTAAAATTCGGAAACTTTCTTAATCTTTAGGATGCTTATGTGTACTAATGAGATCGCGTCTTTAAATCCTATATGGATGCTCTCAGAGGCTTAGAGCATGTGCAGCAGAGAGACTATGAGGGTTTCTTTAAATTTTTGTTTTTTTTTTGTTTTTTAATGATTTTCGAAAAAAATAAAAAAAAAAAAAAATCGAAACCCAATCACATGCTGACACGTGGAGAGACGTGTCAGAGAAACGGTTCTGGAATCTCTCCCCGGAGAGACGTCTCTCGCCTTGGGACTCGCCACGTAGGTAAATGTTTTTATTTTTTCTTTTTCTTTTGGCTAAAGAAACTCTCATAGTCTCTCTGCTGCACATGCTCTTATAGCTCCATCTTAAGAAACTATAAATACATCGTTCACATAGTGATTAGTACATACCGAGTTATTGCATAGATGTTTCCCTTCTTACTTATTTTATTTAAAAGAAAAACAATAATCCGTAGTAAAGAAACAAATGTTGTGACAACAACATTTTAATCAAACATTATTTGAATACAATATATAATCTTAAAAACCTAATGCTCACAAATTTAATCAACTTAAAGATTAGCAATATTACGGTCAAAACCAACATTTTTTTAGATATGTGTCTTTTTGGAGAGACGAAAAGAAAAAAACGGATTTGATCAAAAATCAAAAAAGATTAAAAAAAAAACCCAATTGGCTTTTGTGTTTGTGTTCAACCACTGTATTCGAAATTGGTTAGAATGTCAAAATACATACTTCATGTAAGAAAGCAATATAAAGCCTGCCTTCAGTATTTTTTTAGTAAAGGAGTATGGATAATCACTAAGAATTTCTCATTGACTCCTGCATTTGGACATGATTTTGGATAAAGGAGTATGGATAATCACAGAAGTTCCATGCTTTTCAAAAGATGTGATGTCTACTTGCAATTCATATTCGCTGTGTTTAGCATTGATGATACGTTGGAAGTTAATAAGGTCGAGAGAGTAGCATATGATGATGTGAAAGCTGTGGAGTATTTCTTGAAACAAAAGTTTGAATCACAGCCAGAGATTGTCAAGGTTGGTAAACTTTCTCTCTGTTCCACCAAGTACTTAGCAACATTAGATAAAGTCTTTAGATAAAAAGTAAAAGGATAAGCATTAGATAATAGTCTTTTAATCGAACATTAGATCTAGTCTATCTATTATAGCACGGCATGTCTTTGAACTCAGCTATTGATCGTCCATGCTGGTTCATAAGTTTCTCTATCTCCATCAAAGTGTATTGCTTTAGCTGATTTTCATTTAGACGTAGGCTTGGGAAGTTGAAAGTCTTGCGTTTTCTGTGAAGCATGTCTTCACCTAGTGATTTCCAATAGCGATTCCACAAATTTAGAGGACTCCCAACTTGACAATATATCAGCAAGCAAACAAATAGTCTTCGTAGTTGATAAGGTGTAGACCATTGAGTTGCTTCGTCCATCACGTCATGCCACTCGGAGTCTGAATCTAGGAGACCTCTATCATAGGATACTGATTTGTAATCATCATATTTTCGTGTCCCCAGCACTTTGAATCTCTTCAAAACTTTCCACTTTTGACCATAGACTTCTATCGTTGTTCCATGTAAATTTTTTTCAGAAATTCCGAATAAGTTATCTGATGAGCCTCTTCTGATTCTTCGTTTCTCTCCATCCATCGTCTAAACATACTTTTCTCAATGTCTTCCTTTGATTGAACTCTACTCATAATGAAAGAGTTATTACCATAAAGGTCCTCGTTCTTGTCAACAGATTCATTAAACTCGGCGTTGGAACGAATCCCAAAGTTTTGACCCTCAATAGTGTAGTCATCATGGTCGATTGTTTATGACTAATAATTATTTTCAATACCCATTTTTCCTATGGATGATTGTTTATTTTGAACTTCTATTTAATTAGTTTTTTCCTTATATTTTTCAAGCCACATGTGAAATTTTTAATAAGATTATAATTAAAATTCACACATGTCGTGATTATGTAAATTAACATTATTTTACGTGTTCCAATCACGTCGTGCGCATCTTGCTTTATATAATAAAAAAATATAGCACATCATTGTTAAGAAAAAAAAGAGGTAAAGTTCAACTAGACCCAAACAAACTAAACCTACCAGAGGTGTGATTTTTTTTAAAACCGGCTGTAAAACTTAAATTTTCTCATGTTGAAATCATGAAAACACCTCCCAAAGATTGTCTGAGCCATTTCATAAACCTAGAATTTACCCTGAATTATAAAACAAAAAAAAATCATAAAAAAAACAAACTACAACCTATAGCTAACGTCTAATAACGAATTAAGACCAACTGTATAACTTTGGTTTTCTATATATAATATACCAATTCATTGTTGCCTTTCCTTATCTAATCCAAAAATTGGACTTTCGTAGTTAAGACCTACAGTATGTTGCATGGAGGTGCATTTCCCGTTTCGGAAACGTTTCCAAAACGGAAAGTCTCGGAAACTTGTTGGAAACTCGTCTTTTAGCGTTTCCTAAAATGTCTAAGATGGAATCTTATTTCTTGTTTTTGTTAACATAATGATTAAATAATTACGAATCAAATCATATAATTAGTTGATTAAATTCATTGTTCGCAGAGTTAATAATTAATTTGATTTATTAAATGAGATGAATCTTATTATTATTGAGTTCAAATATCTTTCTCTCAATGAAAATAGTTTATGTTGATGAATTGCATAACAATAATAATAGTAAATATTTTTAAAATTTTGAAATTAAGCATTAAGAAATTTATTATTAGTTAAACTCTTTAATATTTAATATAGTATATATATATATTATATTATTTATTTATTTATATATAAGCGTTTTCAAAATGTTTCCAAACTTATATTTTTCAAAATGCATGTTTCCCATTTCCAAAACGTTTCGATTTCGCGTTTCCGTTTCCATGCAACATAGGTTAATACAACTGTGCAACCTAACAAAAATAAATTACGGTTTAAACAATAGAGTAACTTTCGAGTTATTCTTTGTTTTTCAAGTTTTGGTTAAACTCATATCGCCTAATTTCAATATCAACTCTAAAACTTCAACTTCAAGGACAAAGGAACCTAACCCACTAGTTATTCCATTGTTTAAACCAGTTAACTTTTTAACTTGAAATTCAATTCAATGTCGGGTTTAGGTTGTTTGTTTTGCTGTTCACATGGCTTCGCTAGTTCTTGTGAACTGGGGCTAATGTTAAGTAAAGTTTGATAGGCTTTTGCAACCATTTTATCTTAATGTGGAGCAGCTATCGAGTTTGGTCTAACCATCATAAAACAGAATAATTCTAAGGCTTTCACACCAAAAGAACACTTGTAATCGCTCTCTTGAGCTTGTTCTTTCTTATCTTGTAGTTATCTCATTTGATTAAATTTAAATCTTTTTTGTTAAATATTTGTTTATACCTGATTCAACTTAGGATCTAGCCATAAATTATCTATAGTTTATTTCTTACACCAAAACACATAAATTTAGAGTGTGAATTTTCAGCACTATATAATAATCTATATATATATAAAGTTTATGTCATTTTATTCTAGTGCTCTAGTGCTGCCACCTTAGCACAAGAAGGTGTCTCTAAATTCAGCATATCAATTTATTAATTATATTGTTTTTTCGATTTTAATTTTTATAATAATTATCATTTATTACTATAGTAACTTAATAAGAATATGAAAAGTCATTTAAAAAATGTTATGTATAGATCTACCAAAACTATTATTTAGTAATAATAATAATATATAGATATTATAGAAATAACACTTTTTTCGTATTTTGGAATGTTATGTATCGATGGAATATGACGAGACGAAAAAAAATAGAACTTGAGAATAGTGATTGAACGGGACGAGATGAAAATGTACATAATGGGATGGAAAGGGACGGGACATGAATTTTGTCTAACCCTAATTATATTTAGAGACAAGACATAGAAAAGATTAAATATAAAAAAAAAAACATAATAGGATAGGATGCGATTGGATGGGGCGGACATCACAAACACAACGGGAGAAAACGGGACAAAATGAAAAGGAATATAATTGAACAAAATTATGCCTAACCCTAATTATATTTAGGGAACAAGACGAGAAGAAACGAAATGGGACATAACAAAATGGGATAGGATGAGATTGGACGGGATGGGACATACAGGACGGACGGAACAGAAAAGAATATACATGATGAAAACGAACAATATGGGACGAGATGGAACAAGACGGTACAATTTTTTTGCCTAAATCTAATTATATTTAAGTAATATGTGTATAATATCTTTGAAAAATATTAAATTTATGAAAAAATAATAAAATTAACACAACCCGCGCAAAGCGCGGATCACCCCCTAATAACTTAACAAAACAATCTATCGTGTAACTAAAAACACGCATGTTTTTTTAACGTTAACATTCAAAGTAAACAAAACTTTCTCCTGTATATTTTTTCGTTGGATATTTTTCGATGATGAAAGAAATTTTACGAACCAATATTCTAAAATGGACTTTATCGAAAAAAAAATATTCTAAAATGGATAATAATCACCGCAGCCGGGAAAAAAAATAAAATAAAAAAAATAGAGAGTGAAATAGATAAACTAGTTTTTTGAAACAAAAGCGATGCATTTTCCCTCAATCTTCACTTATGCTTTCTAAGTGCGGCCTCCAAACGCCGACGCGTCCCTTCCTCCGATCTTTTTGCGTCGCGACTTTCTCCGATAATATCTCAGTCAAGTACCGATCAGAGACCAACATCGATAAATCCCTGTCACAAGTTTTATCTTTATCATTATTTATTTCCCCATTAGACTTATCACCGCCGTCTTCACGATGCCGACGATTCTGTGAGCGTTTCTTGACGGCGTTTGCGTTTCCTTTTTCCCGTCGTATCTTTCCTCCGGCGGATTTAGCAGCCGGCATGAGGAAATAAATCTTGCCACGCTGGAGCTCAGCTTCGGGAGGTACGATGACGATCTTCGTGGCTGAGATGACGTCATCACGGTCTTCATGATCGGACGGTGGAGAGGAAGGCTTCTTGAGTACGTGCTTCGGGTGGGCTCTCATTATCTCGCTGGCGGTGATCGTGCCACTGATTTCCTCCACGTGTCCGTTTGAGTGTACGATGCGGATCACGTCCAGAGCTCCACACGGTAGAATGCAGGCGATGCAGCACCTGATCGTCTCTTTCATTCTCTTTTATTTATTAGAAGAAGAATATATAATTTCTTGTGAAAATCATCAGAGATGAAAATGAGAGAAAAGATGAAAGAGAGAGACGTAAGATAAGTGATCTAGAAGAGAGAAGCTTTGAAGAGAACTAAATTTAAATTGTATTTCTTTCTTCTTCTTTTTTTTGAGTGATTTAGACCATGGCCATGTGTGTTTATTATTTATTTATAGACATGTCTTTTTGTGTGTATGATACTTTTGATCCTATTGTATAATCTATGTTTGTGTGAGTGTGTATTATAAATAGTTTTATGGTTTCCGTTAGTTGCTCTTTTTCTGCTCTTTTTCAGCGGCTGGATTAGGAATATACGTTGAATAGTTTTCACTCTTTTTATTTGTTTATTTTGGCATTGCTCGATTTTAAAATATCCCTTGAACTAGCATTTACCTAAAGCTTATGGAATGTTTTAAAATTTTCATTATTGATGCATACATACGTTGCACCAAAACAGTATAGGGAACTAGGAATTGTGATCCGTATAAAATAATCATGAGATAAGTAAGTGGGTTTCTCCTTTTGATTGAGATAGGAGATAATATGTTATCAAAAGTAAAATTTAAAAGGTTGGTATATATTCAATGAAAAACATTCCTTTGAATATCACAAACCATATGAAGATGTAAGAATCATTTAAAGAAAACCTTAATATAAACAAACAAACGAAGTAAGGAGAAAAAGAGGTCAAAATAACATATAAATTTGTGAATAAAAACTTGGTGGGGATAGGGAACAAAAGAGGGGTTGAGATAGATGGAATGAATAATTGCACCCAACGATGTTATGTAAATGTACTTTACCTTTTGGATCCATCGTCTATTAGCATTTGAGGGGACCCCTCTTCCTCGCTATAAAGCTTTCAATTATTTTTTCTTCTTCTTCTTCACCTTCAATTTTTAATTATCTTATAACTAATTTCAATTTTTATAATACACAGTGGTCGTTCATCTAGGCTGGGTGCTGATGGGTAGACACATGTTGCAGCATCATTGGGTCTCCATTATACATAACATCAACACCACACATTACACATCATTTTCCGCAAATTTCACCAAGTTATATCAAGCCTAAGATTTAAGATATCTTTCAAGACATTAGTCAGATAGTCGAATTTTCTCGCTTTATATTGGTCATTTTGTTTGATATCTGCTCTTTATTTATTCAAAAAGACTATTTGTGTATCGTTAGTTTTCATAAAGATGTTGTTCATGTGCGCATGCATACTCAAAACATTAAGTATATTATGCGTCATTTTATCATATATTCTTAAACTCATGTACGTCATCAGCTCCTGTTTCGATGATTTGTCGGTATAAATACTCTGACCCCAATACTGTTTTAATGAAAGATCCAATAATAGTTTCGTACAGTTAAATTGATCGAGTGCTGATATTTAGCACACAAGAAAATACGATGCGCGCGTGACTTAACTAGTTCTAATCAAGATTTTCAATAAATTAAAAGAAGAAGTTCCAAACCCACATAACAACTATTAGAACCAACATATTATCTTTGCAATTTGTGTTTTTCCTGTTGTCTTTTTTGTTGATAACTATTTATTCGTCTTGTTATCATTCAGTGTCATCAAAAGTCAATCCAATAAGAAATAGTCGAAATTTGATGACATTAGTTTGGATCCTTTTCAATGAATCATGATATGCACGCACCTTGTTGGATTTCAGATCCTACTGCCTTTTTTTTAACTTCATTATATTTCGGAAAAAGTATCATAAGCAATCAAAACAAAGTTAATACAAGCAATGTTAGTTAAACTAGATAGATAGGTTTTACTTCGAGAAGGCCAGGTCTTTATTTCTAACTTCAATGTTTAAACACTCATTTACGGAGAAAACTACAAACTAAAAACCTTAATAAATTATGGATTCTTTTCATAAGACTCCTTTGATTTAAATAAGAGAGTATAGACACATGGATACGCCATAAATAAGGAGAATGATAAAATGATTTGTAATTAACAGAAAAAGAAAGGATAATAAGAGAGAAGTGTGTATTCAATATATCCGGAAGCAAGATCATGTGGGTTTGCTTTCCTTTTGAGAGTGATTGACTCATGGACCCCTCTCTCGCTCTTCTCTATCTCTTTCTCTTTCTTTTACATTTTGGTGTTTGGTGAACTTCTTTTCACTTCTTTTTGAGCTGATACAAATGAGTTTGATTGCACGAAGACGAAAGTAAGGGAAAAAGTTGACATCAAAACAAAAGGAGAAAACATGCACACCCAACTCATATAATATTTAACAGCTTTTTCCATAATAAAAAAAATATATATTAGCTTAATACTGAATTTCAGAGATAAAGATAAATCTAACTGTATTTGGATTTATAGTTCTTTTGTATATCAATATCCCGGTCTTTTGGATTTGGATTTATGGTCGAGTTTGGATTGTTACATTGACGAGAGCCAAGTGGAGCATTTAATCGGATTACACGTGTCTTATAATTCGTACAGGATGATGCACACGTATTCTGTAGAGTGGACCAGGTTCACATGGAAGTGAAGGGTATGTTGGATTTCATTGACTATGCATGCTTACAAAATATGTGGGCTTTCCTACGAGCTAAAGCTTTCCACGAGGCCGGGCAAGTATCTTAACGATTTAGAAACATGGGACAGAGCTGAAGAGGCTCTTGAAGAAGTGGCTAAAGCATTTTGGAAAGATATGGCTTGTGAACAAAGGAGACGGCACGTTTTATGGCCCAAAGATAAGACTTAACATTTTCTAATGCAATGAAGAGGAGATTCTGATATGTAACTTCTAGCTTGCTTGCCCTTCTCTCGTAGCCCGCACCAGGCCATAGTTTCCTCTTTTTGTAAGAGATCAAACTGAAGAATCTGGATACACATTGATTCTTCTTAATCGAAGCCGAAGATTCTATTAGTTTCTATTTTAAGTTAATTTCTTGCAAACTAAGATTTGTGTAATATTTGAAAAATGTTCGGCCAAGACTATAAGTCTATAAGTCTTTAGTAAATGTTGAAAAGAAAGAAAGAAAGCTTCTGGATACAATGTTGAGGTTGACTCAAGTGACAGAAAAAAATCGGTACGTAAAAAGGTGGTAGACGTACTGGTCGTAGGTGAAAAAGAAGCTACAACCGGACTTGTGACTGTTTGGCTCAGAGAAGAGGACCTTTCCTTGCCGTCAAGACTAGCCGGATCAATAATTTGCTGGATCAATCCACGTTCAAAACTAACAACTTTCTCTGATATTCCTATGGGAAAATGATTTTTTATTTTATGTTTCTGTTTTCGTGTTGATGAACGAATGTGTGTTCCTTTACGAGCTAATTTCAAAATTACACCTCTTGAGGTACCAATTTCCTAAAATACACTTCTTTGGTGTCCATTTTCAAAACTACACTCTTTTAATTGAGTAAAAAAACTCTAAACCCTAAAATATAAACCCAAAACCTTAAAATCTAACATTGAATCCTTAAATCTAAACCCTAAACCCCAAAATCTAAACCCTAATATAGGATTAGTGAACTCAAACATATATATTAAAATTATGAATGTATTTCTGAAAATTTCTACACTATAGATGTAGTTTTGAAAATTTGCACCTCAAGAGATGTATTTCTTAAAATTTCTCCTTTACACTAGACGAAGATATATATTTTTGGGATGAAATGTGTCTATTTTATTCCACTATTTTAGGGAGATTTGTGAATATACCCTCAAAAAAGAGAACTCTTGTCTCTTTACACCTTTTTTGAAATTTACCAATTTTTGACTATAATATCCTTGTATATGCTAACAATATGAAATAAATATTTTTAAAATTTCAAAAAATTAAATAAATTCAGTAAAGTGATTCTAAGATTTTAGAAAATATTTTTAAAGCTTTTTGTTGAAATTTGAACCTCAGAAAAATAAATAAAGTTTCCTTCTACCAAATTCAATATTCAAAGTAGAATATGTCTTCTACTGTATGCTCTCACATCTATCCACCGTAGAGCGTAAAATCTACCGACTGTTATAGTTTCTACCATCGTAGAATTTGATTTCTACTAAATATTCAATGTTCTACGACTTGGTAGAACTGTAAAACATTTGTTCTACGATATACATGGTTGTCTACCACCGGTAGAATTTATATTCTACCATAAACATTCTCTTCCACTATATGAAGAATTCGTGTTCAACTAAAAATACTATCTTCTACTATTTGTAGATTGTGTGTTCTCTGAAAAACATTGCCTTCTACCGTTTGTAGAAATTGTAATCTACCTTAAACACAGTTTTCTACGAAATGGTAGAATGCATCTTCTACGGAAATCTGAGAAAATATAGTAAAAATGGTAACTGAATATTTTAAAATCTTTTGAAAAAACAACATTTCCTTTAATTTTTTTTCTCAGAAAAATGAAAAAAAATACATTTCTTCCATATTGTTCTTCTTCCTCCTCTCCATTTTTTCTTATCTTTTATCTAGTTTTTTCTTCCATTATCTGTTTCAGTTTTTTCTTCTAAGTTGCTATGTTGCAAATCTATGTAACATGTGGCACATGGAAATCGAGTACAATCAAGGGTTAGAGACACTTAAGAAACTTGCAGTTTTACTTAATTGAAAAAACAAGCAGATGAGATAATACAACAAGGAGAAAAGTAGTAAAGAAGAAGTTTGAAGGAGAGAAGAGTCGACGACACTAAAACTTCTCTTTACTTTTTATTATTTATTAATTAATTTATTTATTTTTTAATTAATTATTTAATCCCAATTCTATTAAAACATGATTTGAGGGTTAAAATTGGGTTTAAATTTTTATAAAGAGTAAGTGGACAAGTTTAGGCAAAAAAAGAGTAGATGGACAACTATTCTGTAAATGTGGAGTATTTTGCCAAATTTCCCACTATTTTAAGGTGCTTACACAAAAGTGATATCAACAAGCACTTCTTTAAGAGTTGATGTACATAACAGCCTGGAAATGATCAATTGATCAGTTTCATAACCAAAAAAAAAAAAAAAGACTCAATTTCCTAGTTTGATAAGTTTTTAGTATATATTGGGTAAGAAACTTTTTTTACTTTCACACTCTTAGTCTTACCACTAAGTTTCATTCTGCTTCGAACCATGAGAAAACGATTGACGGATCAAGGACTATTCTTCATCATAAAAGCCCTTTAATAATTTGAGACGTGCATAGAATCCTTTGAAAAAGATATGATATGTAAAGATGATGATATATTCCAAAAGATGGAATAATAGATATACCAATATACAATACACAAGTATCATATTAGTGTATATTCTCAATCATCTTCTAGGCTGTAAATGGTAACTGAAGAATTGTTGAAAATCTCGAGGAATCCAGCTGAATTTTTAGTTTGTGTCACCAGTTGTTTTTGAAGTATAAAACCAAAAAAAAAAAAAAAATATATCATATTAGTTATCATGTTTTTTCGGAAAAAGAAATCCAGAATCAGATTTTGACGTTAAAACCATAAAATCTTCCTCTTTTTTGCCAAACCATGCAATTTTGTACCAAAACCACAAGATTCATTCAGTCACTAGAGTTGAGGCCATTTTCGTCATTTACAAGAGTAGGATATTTTCTGTAGAAATAAGTTTGTGGTTAACGGCTTCTCTCCAGTCCAAAGTATAAAAGAGGTTTCTTTTCTTCACGCCAAGACTTCGATCACTCCGATTCTTCGTTTCACTTGACAAAAATGGCATATTTCTCGGCGAGACTGAAGCTTCTCTCTAGCAGCGACGGAAGATTCTCGTTTGATTCCAGAGACCAATTCCGACACGGGCTTTACACGGCCGCCGGTGGAGGAGGATCATCGCCGTCGATTCCGGTGCGCAGGAGGAGCCGATTAAACTTCGTCGCGAGAGTCTCTTCGTCTTACTCCTTCTCTTCCAAGAGAAAGAAACTCATTGATTTCGATAACAGCGACGAAGACGGCGATGACTGGAATTTTGATGGAGACGACGATGGGTTAGAGACTGATGACGATGATCTTTCTTGCTTCAGAGGCTTAGTTCTTGACATTTCTTACAGGTCCCTCTTCATTTTTACCTTCCTAACAACAATAGTATAAGCATTGATGAGTTTATTGAGGGTGATGGAAATTTTAATTGCCATATTATGCTCTTTTTTTTTTTTTTCTGAATCACAGTGAACAATAATGAATTTTAGCTCTGTTTTTTTTTTTTTTTTTTTTTTTCAGTTTCATGCATACTTGAATTGGGTAGTTGAAATTTGGTTGCATTGTGTAGACATTGACAAAAGGCTGAATTTGTTTGCCTCTTGTGGATCAATTTAGGCCTGTCAATGTGGTTTGCTGGAAGAGAGCAATTTGTCTAGAGTTCATGGAAAAGGTCAGGCCAAAAGCTTTTTAAAATCAATTCTTGATTAAGAATCTTTAATTCCGGTTTTGTAATTTTTTTGGATAATGCCTTCTCTAGGCCGATGTTCTGGAGTATTATGATCAAGCTGTTACTTCTCCTAGCGGTGTATACTATATACCTGCTGTGTTAAGGGTATGTAGCAGAACTATGAGTTTAGTCCAACTTTAACACTTTTGTTTTTACTTTTTGGGAAGCTTGTTGATTCTCGTTTTGCTTTCAGGTTCCACATCTACTTCAGGTTGTGAAAAGAAGAAGAGTGAAGAACACACTGAGTCGTAAAAACATTTTACTCCGAGACGATTACACTTGTCAGTGAGTAGTTTCTCCATGTCCTGTCTCACAAAAGTAGTTTTCTTTTGGGGAATCAATACTATTCTTGCTGAGTAGAGAGAGTGATTTTTGTGTTCTTGTTTGGGATTTTATAGATATTGTTCTACACGTGAGAACTTGACCATTGATCATGTTATACCAATCTCTCGAGGTGGAAACTGGACCTGGCAAAATCTGGTATATGTGACTGATATAATTGAAGTTACCAATTTTGTGACTGTGATTAGTTATTATAAAAACTTTTCATGTAACCATTAGGTGGCTGCATGCTCAAGATGCAACTCAAAGAAAGGTCAAAAGACAGTGGAAGAAGCACATATGAAGTTACTTAAGCCCCCAAAGGTATGATGCATTTTCTTACAGCTTTCATATGATTTGTTGATTAATAATGTGTTTTGTTGGTTATGGCAGGAACCAAAAGACTATGACATTGTTGCGATACCATTAACAAACGCAGCTATAAGGTTGCTGAGATCGAACAAGGCAACGCCAGAAGAATGGCATCAGTATCTTGGGAAACCCTCTTCCTCGCCATAGCGGTTCCTCTCAAAGGTCGTCGGTCCAAGCCATCTCGTAAATACAGAATGGTGGCTTGAATTGCATCTGTACATTCAAATATGTGCACTCAAATATGTATATAATTACGTAAATAATGGCACCATTTTCAGAATCTAAAGTCATTCACAAACTGACTCAGCTTTGCTTTGACAATGACAATGACAATCACTCACATGTCTATATGCAAGAAGGAGGAAGCCAATAAGGGTCCTTGAAAGAAGTAGGTGCACCTTCAGGAGCTTGAAAATGATGGATCGTTGCGTCAGCGATATTGTAAATACCAAACCCATGGCCTATATAATAAATGGAGTTAGGCTTGAGACCAGAGCAAGAGCTTGCCTTGACGCAGAAAGCCTCACTCATTGAAAGAAACATGCAAACATCTCCAATATCCTCAGTGTAATACATGCATCTTCCTTCCACTGTTGTCATCTTCTCTCTAAACACCATGAACCTCCTCGTCGTGTAGTTGCTTCCTTCATGACTCGCCGAGAAGACGCGCTGTGCATACCATTTGACAAGAAAACGTTCGCCATTGGAGACTGAGTCCACAAGGTGTTCCGTTCTGCAACACCAACCCAACAGCTTCCACTCGGAATCATCAAGCTCAGGAAGGTCACGGAACAACAACTCATGGAACTTAGGGCTTTTATTCTTCTTCAAGTGGAGATCCCATGAGTACAAGGAGTTGCCTCCAGGACCAGGCAAGTAGAATCTCCCTTCTCTCTTGGAATACATGAGATTCGAGTTCTCCAGATTCTCCAACTTGTCAATAAGCAACTCCCCAACGTTAGTCCAACGCATGTCACAGTGTGGTTTACACAGACTAAGCTGTCTATCCAAAAGCTTGACAGCAACCACACAGTCTTGATCATGAGGAGAAGATGACACCGCCACGTTCCAGACTAGATTTGTTTGGTTGGAGTGTACAGCAACAAGTGGAGGCAGAGGAATCATTGTAGGGTTTGTTGACTTGGAAGCCAAGGTACTGTTAATGTCGCTGATGCATAACGAACGATCATGATCGTTAGAGAAAACTCCCCATCCACGTGCACTTCCTATCTGTCTCGAGTCGGCGAGCTCTTGAGGGAATGTTTTGTCAGGAACTGTGACCATCTCTTCCTTGGCTGGATCAAACAAGAGGACGTCTCTGATTTCGCTACCGTCTGGCAGATCATTCTTCAGAGTAGTGCCAAGCGTCAGATACGGATTAGGTATGGAAGATGAGAACAGACGAAAGCTTCTCTTGTTTATCTGCAAAATTAAGCATCACCACAGAGATCATAAACCAAGAATGTCGTATTTTTTGAAAAAGTTGCATCCTTTGAATCGAATTGAAACGGAACAAAACGCAAAAGGGGGAAGGGAAGAGAAGCTTTTACGAGGGCATGGTTCCAAGGAGAGAGTTTGAAGAGTCCGGTGAAATGGCGAGACATTGTGGAAGATACCACAGAGAAGCTCTGAATTAAAGATGATGTTATTAGTAGTACATGGTCTCGAAAAAGGTTTAGAGAATATGGGTCAAGGTTTGAGGCTTGCCGCGATTTGGAATTAGCAAGTCTAGTGAATTTGAAAAGGGAAGAGATTGGGTTGAGGAAGAAGTTGCAGTGCAAGTGTTCGACGATATGCGTTACTGAACTAAAAGGAAAGGATAGGCCAGAATCGAAACACTTCTATTGTAATAATAACTCACTTGGTAATAATTACGAAGATTGTCCAAAAATCAATCCCTTGTTCTTAATAATATTTCATTGTTCTTAATAATATTTTGTTTTGAGATTTTGTTTCATTGTTCTTAATAACAAGGTGATTGTCCCGCACCTTGTGCGGGTACAATATTTTTTAAATACAATTATTAATTAAAGATTTAAATACAACTATATGTTAATCTGTTTTTTTAGCTTTTGTGATGATTGTTGTTGGCATCAAGTATATTCGATTTAGATGTCAAGTAGCTCTACAATGTCCTGTCTGAGTAGTGACATTGAAATTCTTAATGAGAATCCAATCTCCCTCGTTGACCTTGCAATCATAAGCCTCATAAACGGAAACATGCACAGTTGCTTGAATCTTCTCTCCCTGAAATATTTATAATACAATAGTTACAAAGATCACTAAGGTATCAATATTATCTATCATAGATTTTTTTTCGCTTTATCCGATACCTCTTCATCAGATAGTATGAGCTCTAATCTTTTAGCAGAAGTTGGGTGATCGTTTAGCCAAAAACGCAAAACTTTGACCAAAATTTCAGAATCGTGAGTCCTCGGCCCAAGTCCTGAAACTGTATACCTCTTCCTCAAGACCTTATCATACGTAAGAAGCTTCTTGTAGGTGCCTGATTCATTAACGTAAGTACTTAAGATATATTATTAATGATTAAGCAAATATTATGGATATTAAAAAAAAAAATCGTTATAGATTCGCCATTAGAATTAGGGTTTCATGAATATTAAGATGGTAATTAAAAGGATAGATGTTCATACCTTCTTTTGCTGGAGTTGAATATTTCTCGCTTGGGACCAAATCTGATCTTCTAGATTCCATTAGCTTGGAACTCACTGTTACAAAAGCGAGAGAAGAAGAAGTTAGAAGCGTATATGTAGATGATTGACAGTAGATAACAAATAATCAGTTAATCATTACAGTAAATAGAACTTAAATCAAAGTGAAACAATAAAGATACATGAGAAGAAGAAATATGAGACCTAAGAAGTAAGATTACGTATAGAAAGAAGATATGCAAATCGTAATGAGAATTGGGTTGATTTTGCTTGTAGCTATAACTATATATAAGACAGAGTCGGCTAACAAACCTAGGTTTTCCAATTTTTAATTCTTTACAATTTTTTTAATTTCTTCCATATATGTGGCGCGAAAATATGTTAGTTATACGGTATATATCCAAAAATAATTTAGGAAGAAAGCAAAATTCGTTATCCATCGTCCAATAAAATAAATTCGTTTTTAAATAAGATAATAAGCAAATTGAAAGATTTATTCAAGATTTTCATTAAGGGTAGTTATGTAATTCCGAGGCTGAGAGTTAACGTGGTGGCTCCATTCACGAAAATTGATTTACAAATACTTGAGTATCTCAGAAAGGTTTTCCCGTTTACTCCCTTACTCGTTTTGAATTTCATTCTCGCACTTGTTAAAATAATTTTCCTTTCAAGATCTTCTGTTTTATAAGTTCGATGTAGCATGAAGAGAGTAGAGATTAGTTTTTGCACAAAAAAAAACAAAGAGAGATTAGTTTGTAGCCATAAGAATCACCAATGAGCCTACGGGATGCTTTAGAGTCGTGTGGTGGCAAATAAGCTTCATACGAGCATTGTTCTAAACAGAGGTCCAAGTACTGAGACATGGTCCATTTGAAAATGAGATATGCTATAGTAATGGATAGACAAGGTCCATTTGATAAATATATCTCACTCATTGGCTCTTTCTTTCCTTTTTACAAAACAACCTTCAAACTAAATTCTTTTTGCAAATTAAACATTCAATTAAAAATCGTGCAACTCAATCCTATAAAGTCAAAAGTCACCCGCAATATAGGATATCTATATATTTGTGACAAAATTTAAATGAGTTTTGTGCAAAATAACCCACGAACTGAATTTGTTTTGCAAATTTAACCCTCAACTTAAAAAATATGCAAATCAAACCTCAAAATCAGAAATCACCACTAAAACGGACATGTGTATTTGTCATTAACTATAAATGTTGATTCAAAACATTATGCCATTACAACATCTTAACTAACTTTTTTTTTATCAAAACGGACCTATGTAAATATGTGTGATTTTGATGCTTATTTAGATTATCTAATATCTAAACTCCTACTCATAGGCAATGATATTTAGATCTAAATAGACATTAGAATCACACAAATTCCTTTCTCCATACACCAAAAGATCAACATAAAACAAAACAACAAAATCTAAACTTTTTTGAAACCTAGTGATATCATGAGAAAGAAAATCAGCTTACTCATACTCCCTTCGTTTCATATTAGTTGTTGTTTTGGAAAAATGTATCCACAATATATTTGGATGTATGTGGATGTGTTTTGACCTTAATACATCTAGATATATTGCACATACATTTTCTCAAAATTACAAGTAATATGAAATGGAGGGAGTACAAGATTACTCGAGAAAAGCTCATAATGGTGAAGGAGTACGAAAAGAGAAATTTAAGATTTTTGTTTTTATTTTTCAAAGTTAATTTTGATAAAAATAGTTAGTTAAAATATTGTAAATGACATGATGTTTTAAATCGATGTTTATAGTTAATGACAAATACACATAGATCCGTTTCAGCTGTGATTTCTGACTTTGAGGTTTGATTTGCATATTGTTTAAGTTGGGGGTTAAATTTGCAAAACGAATTTACTTCATGGGTTGTTTTGCACAAAACTCATTTTAATTTGGTCACAAATATACACATGTCCTATACTGCGGGTGACTTTTGACTTCATAGGATTGACTTGCATGATTTTTAATTGAATATTTGATTTGTAAAAATAATTTAGTTTGAAGGTTGTTTTGCACAAAACCCTTCTTCCAACCTACTCAACAATCTACTCAACAATCCTATTTATTGACGAAAATACAAATTCCCATCTAAATAACTACAAATCTCCACGCAACATTTAATTGACAGTGACATTCTCTCACTCTTTAAGTTCTAGTACCTTCTCTTTTTTTCTTTCTAAAACAGTGACATGTAAAATAATGGCTCTCACAATACAGAGTAAAAAGACACAAGTTATATGGCTTAACCAATTATGAAGATAGAATATAAATTCATAATTTTTCTACAAATCGCACAATTTTTTGGCAATCATAGTATTATATATATATATATATATATATATATATATCAAATCGAAAATAAGATGTTGGTAAGCAAAATGGCAATCCATGCTTTGATAAAATCGTGCCAACCAAAACTAACAGAACCAAAAAACATCCAATAAAAAACTTTTTAACAAAAAGAAACGTATTTTTCTAATCAAAGTAATATCTCGTAATTAACACACAAATACGAGGGTAGTTCGGTCTTTTCGACGTCTGTAAAACACATGAAACGGGAAAGGAATGGCTTGCGGTATTGGCAATGTCTCTCTCATCACAGTCTCTCTCTCTCTTTCTGCCTCCAAAAATTTCCCTCTGTTTTGAGCAGTTAAGCTGCCGCAATCTCACCCACCAAAAACCCATAAACAAATCATTACTCTTTAACCATTTTTCCTCGAAACCCGTTTCTCGATTCGTCGAGACCCATTTTGGTTCTTCCTCCAAGTCATTTTGATGCTTTAGACCCAACCGTTTTTCTCATTGTGTCCATCTTCAGAGACACTGCTCTACTTTGATTTACATAGAAGAAAAATGCCGCTTTCTAAGCTTGGGCTAAGGAATAATGCATACGGTTTGACCCAAACGGAGCTGTATAGAAATGTCGATCGTGAAGACCCAAAGGAGATTCTCAACGGCGTTGCAGTCTCTGGACTCGTCGGGATCTTGCGTCAGCTAGGTGATCTCGCTGAGTAAGTATTGGAATTCGACCCCTCAATCTCTGATTTTTCTTTTTACTTCAACGAAATCTGGGTGTCTACTGTTGAATGATTCTTTGAGTTAATGGTGAAGTTAGAGAAGAAAAATCATCACTTTGCATGAAAGTAATTGGCTTTACTTGTTTAAGTCCTTCTATTGGTGTTCTAGCGATAAATTAGGAAATCACTGTTCGAGATGATTACAAATTGTATGATCCTCCTTTGTGAGATTTTTGATTCCAAGTAAGGTTTTAGCAAAAAGGAAGAAGCTTTTTTGTCTTTGGTTACCTTTGTAACTTGCTGGATTTTTAAAGTTGTAACTTGTATTGGTTCAAAAGGAAGAAACTTTCTTTAAGGATTGTTCTTGCTCTTGACACAGATTTGCAGCAGAGATATTTCACGGCATACAGGAAGAAGTTATGGCTACAGCTTCAAGAAGCAATCAGTTGAAGATCAGATTGCAGCGTATAGAAGCTACAGTGCCTCCACTAGAAAAGGCAGTGCTTGCACAAACAACTCATATTCATTTTGCCTACACAGGAGGTATTTTGTCTTCTTCTCGCTTGTCAATCTTGTAATTGTCTTGACCCAAGGTGTCTGATTCCTGTTAGATTTCCAATTTTAGTGAATAAATAATGTCACCTGGTGCGTTCATTCATGGTAGGCCCAGTTTTCACTTGCCTTTTTACTTACCCTTCTACTAGATAACTCTGGAATCATCAAATTAGTTACATTTACTGCAAAACTTTTAGAATAGATAGACATGGAGCTCAAATGTTAGTAATGGTTGGTGATTTCCTCTGTATTGATATGAAATGTCTTCTAGTCGGATCAGTTTTTGGTTTTTTTTTATCTTTGTGAATCGATCGAGTTGTTTTTACGCCGGTCTCAGGTCTGGAGTGGCATCCTCGTATCCCTAATCAGCAAAATCACCTAATTTACGACGATTTGCCTCGCTTGATTATGGATCCCTATGAAGAGTGCAGGGATCCTCCACGTTTGCACTTGCTCGATAAGTATGCCTCTTCTTTATTAGTCCGTTTACTTCTGTAGTATGTCATCTTGCAGGGTAAAACATTTATATCTGTTTATGTAATGTATGATGTATCATCATGTTACACTCAACCTTTTTTGCTTCCTCAGATTTGATATAAATGGTCCTGGATCTTGCTTGAAGCGATACTCCGATCCTACTTATTTCAGAAGAGCATCAAGCAACCTGAGTCAAGGAACCAAGAAGTTCCAAAGCAATAACAAGAATTGTAAAATTAAGGTTTGGTTTCTCAGATTAAATTAGTAAACGATCTTCTCTACAACTTTCGTTTACTTGACAGTTAGATTTCTGTTTTCTGACATGGACAGAAGAAGAAATCTTCGTCAAGGAGTCGAGATATGGCACGTCTGGCCTCCATGGCTAACCAGAGCGCCAGGTAAAAACACATACTTTATTGGCTTATTGAAGTTTCTGTGCTCCAACGGATGCATACTTGGTTTCTATTCAATGTAATGCTCAATATATATAACTCAAAAAATGGAATTGATTTCAGAAAGACAATTGCTTCATTTAGCTTCAGTGGACAAACCTCTTCTTCTCTTACAGCCTCAACCAGTGACATGGAAAAAAGATCTGATCTGCAAGATCATCACTCTCACTCTTTTGATTCCAGAAGTGGTTCAGGCTACAATGAATGCATCTCAACCGCAACCTCTTCACTACGAAAACCGAAAGGGGTATTCGTTTCATCTAGCTTGACACCGGGCTCTTGCACCATCGCTTCAGTCCTTTCTGAATGTGAAACCGAAGACGCACAGGATAGTTTCCAGTTTAGTCCTTCCCATGGGCAAGCTGCTCGTGGTTCCTCTTGTGTTAGTTGGGATGAGAAAGCAGAGATAGTGGAACCTCTTGGTGTGCAGAAAGATGAAGCTTTGGAAATGATGGAGAAGAACTCTGTTGTGGATGCACTAGATGAGAAAGCAAGCTGTGGAGAAGAGACTGGTAGAGTTGATTATGGAAACTCAGAATCAGGATCACAACAACATACTGGGATTGATGAGGCAAGAGAGATGAAAACCGGTTTGGAGTCTATGGGAGAACAGAGGGATAGTGAGCATGAGACTGAAAGCGAAGGGGACTGTTTTGTTGATGCGCTTAATATTATTGAATCAGAATCTGAAAATGATCAAGGGCTCCAAACTAGTCAAGAAGTGGCCAGCAGTCCCTGTGGTGTTACAGACGAAAGGTTGGAAAAGTCAGTGTGTGAGCAAGAAGTAGAGTCAAATTTCAACACTGTCGAAGGCTCTTGTCGACCAATGGATGAAGAGAAATCTTGCGGTTTAGTGGAAACGTTGTCATCTATAAATGTATCTGATGAAATGAACCATCAAGACCCAGGGTTGAGTTCAGATATAGCCTGTTCACCGCGCCATGATCCTTGTACAAGTAACATTCCCGGTGGAGCTGATTACATGGCATTCACATTTGTTCCTGCTCTTGAAAACAGCTCATCTAATTCATCCAACCTCTTGTATCACAGTGACCTACAGGAACATCAAAAATCAGAAGCTAAAACTTCTAATGACGTTGAAGCCATTAAGTTATGGACTAATGGGGGTCTGTTGGGACTGAAACCATCGAAACCTCAAGTTTTGGCAGTGCCAAGTTCTGTAAGTTCGGACTGCAAGACCGATGAAATGAAAGTTGGTTCTGCAGAAGCTGAAAAGGATAAATCAGGTTATCTATTGGAAAATGCTTCATATAGGCATGTTCTGAATAATTCAAGCTTAGCAACTCCAGGAACCCAAAATCTGATTGTTGCAGACCAGAGAGAGTGCCATGAGACTTCGTCCGGAGTCTTTGGACTCAGCCACAAGTTACTCACTAATGGCTTCCGCAGGAGAGATTCATTTCCTTATGATAGGCAGACTGTACCAGCAACCATTCCAGAGAACGATGAAGTAACGACAGAGAAGAGCCGATCCATTACTGAGAAAACCTTGATGGATCCCTTTAGAGACGAAGCTCCTATTGATTGGATTACTTCGTCCCCACCTCTTCAACACATGAAAATATCTCTCAGTCCCGTTGACACCCTTCAGGCTTCCAGGCTGAAGCTGAAATTCTCTGATGGGAACAACAACAACAACAACGATACATTTTCTTCCTTTCAGCTGCTTCCAGAAGCTGCTACTTCCTTTCCTGATTCTTGTTCAGACGACGACACTTTTTGTAGATCCTCTCCTTACATGTCTGATACTGATTACCTCGGCGATAATCACTCCTTGTCAAATTCTGAGCAGTGGGAAGAATCCAGTGACAGCAATGAAAGAAAAGAGCAAGAACTATATGATTCTTTCCATGAAAGTAGACATGTCGATGAACCTTCCTCTCTAGTGATTGAATCAGAAAGTGGTTGTGTAGACCTTTCTTACCTTCAGAATCCTGCTGAGCCTTCACCACCGCCATTTCCACCTGTTCAATGGATGGTTTCTAAGACCCACTCAGAGAAAGTTGATGACAAAACACAGTCGTTACAACTACAAGACGCTCTCAGGTTCGCCTTTGAGAAGCATATTTCATTGTCTCCAGTCAATAAAGAACTGCCTAACATTGTGACTTCTCCTCCTAAACCTGAACTTAAGGTACGGTGAAGTTTTCTTCTCTTTTCTTAGTTCAAATGATGAATTTTATTTAACAAGCATATGTTCTCATAGGTCCATCTGAAGAATAATGCCAGGGAGGAAAAACAGAAGAGTGCCAAGGAAAAAGAGACTGAAGCTGGAGACTTCTTGCAACAAATCAGAACACAAGTGAGTGCAGAGGATTCTTTTTGTGTATCAGAACACTGTTTTTTATTCTTGTTGCATTCAGATAAGCTTTGGCTACATTCTTGATTTCTTACAACAGCAATTCAACCTGAAACCTGTGGTTATGACAACGACGTTATCTGCTGCTGCAACAACTGACCCTGCAATAAACACTAAGATCAGCGCCATTTTGGAGAAAGCAAACTCAATACGCCAGGTTCATCCTCAAATTGTCTTAAAGAATCTGATATTTGTTTCAGAATCTTACTACTTGTTGTCCCAACTCCAACACAGATTATCTATCACTCACTCACTCACTCTTTCTCGTTTACTTTTCAGGCTGTAGCTAGCAACGATGGAGATGAAAGCGATACATGGAGTGATACGTAAAAAGCAACCTTTTAATCAAAGATTCAGTTTCTTCTCTATAAACTACAGACGTGGCTCGTAGAGAGACCAGCTAGAAATTGGTTTAAGCGTTTTGCAAGCTTTTTTTTTGTTGCTGTTGTATCTCAGTGTCATGTGTATACTGTGTAGATACGAAGTTTTTGTTGTACATGATCTGTATCTTCAGGAAATAAATTAAAAGATAAGCTGTTATGCTCATTCCTACTGAGGAAAACATTTTCGAAACATTTGATTTTTAAAATTTGGTTCTAAGTGAGAAAAAAAAAAAAGGAGTTAATTTTCAAGAGAAAAATGTCCATGCATGTAATGAAGCGAAGTGAGAAAATTGGGTTTTGATAATAACATCAATGCAAAAGAAGGCACATTTTACTATAGTTGTGTGTGTGTGGATAAGTTCCATATTTTTTTTTTAAAAAGTCGTTTTCGATATATTTCCAACTGCGAATAAATAGAAGCATATGTTCTTAGGTCCATTCAAAGAATATTGTCAGAGAGGATAAACAAAGTTCCAATGAAAAGAAGACCAAAACTGGAAATTTCTTGCATCAAATCCGAACATAAGTCGGTGTAATAAATTCTCTTCATGAAATCATATTTGGATTCTTGATATGTTATATCATCTTTTAAATTACATTCCTTCTTTCTTTCATAGCATTAGCATCAATTCAACCTGAGACACGTAGTTGCCACATACACGACCCTACCATGCATAAACACTTACGATTTTTGGAGAACTGTAAACTCTATACGTAATTAGGTCCTTTCTTGTCCTAATTCTATCAAAATTAAAATATCAAATATTTTGCTTAAGATTCTGATTCTTCTCTCTAAATTACTCATGCACGACAGCCGTAGCTTGCGGAGAGACAACCTAAAAAAGGGTTTAATCTTTGTTTTGCAAGCATTTTCTATTGTATCGAATCTCTCATGTGTGTATTGTGTAGTTGATAAGTAGATTTTGTCGTACGTGATATATATCTTCAAGAAAGGAAAATATAAAAATATATATTTGTTGTTATGCTCAATTCTTCACGAAGGTTGAAGTTAATCAATAAACATAAGTAGTTAGGGGAAACTATATTTTTTTTGTTTGAATGCATAGAAATAAATACACATGTTTCGTTATTCTATCTCTGAATATTACACGGAAGAAGATCAGTTTTGTGTCAGCTATGCTATTGATTCTGTAAGCAATCGCAATCAAAAAGTTGAAGGAGAAAGTATAAAAATTGTTTTAAAAAAAAACAAATAAATTTAGAAAAAAAACTTTAAAGAAACGTGAAAAAGTGAGTTGGCAAGTAGAAGAGACTTCGAAGAAGATAAGGTCTTTCGAAAACTCTTTGAGCCGTGAAGTTCGCTTATGTTGTGTGATATTTAATTGTTTCTTATATCTGCCACTTGAATCGAAAGATTAAACAATAGAGATTATGTTCTTGTGTTGTACTGTATGATCTTTTTTGCTAGTTAAACAATTTATCTACAATTGTTAATGCCTGTCTCGCATTTAATTAACATCGAATATTACACATTAGCTTGTGGACATGTGAAAGGAACTAGCTAGTAGTTGTTTTGGAAACAGTCTACACTTATTTCATCTGGTGTTGTTTCTTGGACTGTACAAGTATGGGTGACAAAATTATAAACTCAACGGGATGATAGAAATATACAACATAATTGTGTCTACACCTTTTTGTTGTTGTTGAAAGTGCCCATTTAATGATTGATCAAGAAAGTAGTATCTTACATTAAGTCTTCGCTACAATCCCATGACAAAGCAGCTCACCAAGGTTTTCAGAGAAAAATATCACATGAAAGGAATAGCCTTGCAAATTTTTTTTTTTAATTAATTCATTTACTTGATTTTTTGTTATTTAACACTCTGTATCCCCTACTGAATAAATAATAAAACATTCCCACAAATCAAGTTATAGACATAATTAATTAGTATTTTCAACTACATTTGTTTCCAGTTTCCACTATTAATTGACAACCAATCGGCTGACCTTTTGATCGTAGCTCGTAACCTAGGGACCCAAAAAATATCTATCTTTCTTAGGTAGTCTGAGTTACGTTAAATCAGACATATTAGTATATGTCATATAGTTGGGATTATATTCAAAACTACGTCTAAAATTAAATTCCAACAACGTAATTCAAGTGTAATGGTAGGGTGGATTCAGCCCTAGCTTGGGCGAAAAAGCGTAAAACTTGGTATAGTATTGGCTTAGGCTCCATCAGACCATCACTGCATGTGACCCTTTCGTCATTTGTACATCGGCTTATATGATTTATTTTATTTTTCGTGAGATTGTGAAAGTTTTTTTGTCAAGAAACTTACTCATCACCCAAATATAGTAAGGCACATTTCAACGAAATATGGAAATTCCGTATAAATAATAATAAAATATAGCAAAGGGTTTGAAACTTTTAGGGCAAGTCTTTGTCAGTTATATTTTAATTTCATCCAAGGTATTAATTCTCAACTGCAAAGGCAGCAAAGCAAACTCTCAATTTGTTTTGGTAGCAACTGTATTTATATCAGCATGTACGTTCTACGAAATCGAAAATACAACCTTTGGTAAACTAAAATTAAATAATTCTCCTCGATTTGTTCCTCTTTTTTTCCTTTACTTTTTAAAGTTTTTTCTCTTTACTTTTAAATTCTAAATCGAAAATAAAGATTACCAATGCATGTACCCTCAAGGAAAAAGTGTACCTTTTACCCCAATTAAACTAAACACGTCCAAAGTTCATTTTACTTATTCATTCCACTTTATCTAGCAAGCAATAATCAAACAGAATTAATAGTATTGGATGTCGCTTTTAAACTGTGGAATATGGAGCCATTAGTATTGAAGGTTGGTACTCTCGGAAAGAAACTTCATATTAGTATATATCAAACATGTTCTCCTCATAAACCCCATGAACGTAAAAGATCAATAAAACCAAATTACATTATATGCTTGACCATGGGAACAAACTAAATTTCATTTGATCCTCTATTAATTATAAAATACGGCCAGTTCAAAATATATATGAGCATAATCCGACAAGTTGGGATATAAATGGATAATTTATTATTTTATTCTATATGATCAGTAAAGTATAAGTCAATTATCTCTATAATAGACATTAAAGAGAAAGAACTATAATAATTTCCATTCTTTATTCGTCTAATTAATTTTAAATGGCTTTATTAAAGATAGGATTAAAGAACAAAACCCATACAAAAGATTTTGCTTTGCTTTAAAAAGAGAGCTTTTTTATAAAGTGAATTTTTTGAACCCAAAAGAAGCACACATTGAAAAGTGTAAGAGTTGAAAGGAGAAAAAAAAAGGGCAACCAACAAAAGTTAGTCACCAAATCCACTGAAACCCTAAAGAAAGAAGGAAAAATATGGCCTAAGAAAAAAGATAATCTACCTTTACAGGTTACAACTAAATTACATGTGTCTATATATACATACGCTGCGTATGTATATAGTCTTCATCTATGACTAAATTTGCTTTGTTTTATAAAGCATATTTATCTAGAAAATCAAGCACGCAATGTAATATGTAAAAGTACTCCATATTGAACATGCGATCACAATTCTAAAATGAAAAACAAAAAATCGTATAATAGTTGTATGTAATTCATAGTTGTGTATAGGCGTACAATACAAATTTTCTTACCAAATTGTAAACAAATGTAACTGTGGGTCAGTTTGTTACCAAATTGTTATTTTCGATATGGCTATAAACTTTAATCCAATCACCTGAAGAGGAATAGGAATACAGTAGTACAATTGTTTAAGAATCAGAATACATTATCTTTATATGAATACTTTGCAAAAATAGCTCAATGGATGAAATTGCTCTTCTGCATTTATATATAGGCACATTTATATTCCCTTTTTGTGTATGTTTTAATTGATATTTAACTTAAAAGTCGATCTCTTTTAAAAGTACTTAAAAGTTGTTCTTTTGCGACTCTGTAGTATAAAGGTTCCAATGAGAAAACATGTATAGTATTAAAAAGCACGAATTTGAGAAGAAAAGAGAAACATGAACATCGATTAGTGCTTTCTTTTTCCTTTTTCTTTTACTCTTCTTTTTTTCTTTCTCCCTTTCTCTCCTCTTTAACACTTTCTTTAGCGTTTTATAACGTACGTGAATTATGTCAATTGCTCAACTTTATTTTATTTTTACTATGCGATATATCTACTCAACCATTGTGTATATTAATCGATCAAAAAAAGAAAAAGATTGCACAAATTATTAGTCTAAGTTTTACACTATCCATCAATTACTGATAGGAAGGGATTCATATGATAAATTTCCGAGATTAATTCAATATTCTCTACAAGATTACACTTTAAAAGGAATAGTATAACTGAAGAAAATGGAAGGATGATCGGGAACACACCTGGTTAGAGGGGCCCACAAGATGATGTGTGCCTTTGAATTGAAAGCTGATCTCTATTTAGGCTTATTCATCGATCTCTTCTCCTTCTCTACGCAACACCATAAAACGCTCTTTCTCGTCGGCGGCTTTGTCCAAATCCAAATCCTTTTCACTCAGATAACATTCAGTGAAATATAATGATGTAACGTTATATCGATCTACAACCATAAAACTCGAAATGGAACATTTTTTATTATTATATAATTTCATATTGTCATTTGTAATATAATCTCAAATCTTTACATTTCTAATCAGAGTCTCTAAAATTAAGATAACAAAGATACATGAAAAAGAACATTTATAGGTTTATATATAGTTGTGATTTTCCCGTCATTTATGAGATTTAAAGAACAATAACAATTGTGTGATGTTAAAACCTTACATTTTAATCTCATATTGAATATTAATTATGGTTTGAATTGGTGATATTTTTTTTTTCGTGGAACAACCTCAGTTCGGAAAATATAAGAAGAATGCCATTAAACGTATTTGACGTTTTAAACTTTTTTTCTTTTCTTGTGCAAATGAAGTTTTGAAACTGGCCTCCTCCCCTCCAAATCCCTGTTGGCACACATGCACAAGACACAAAGTTCATCTTAAAAGAAAAGTAAAATCTAATAAATATTGTACGAGTTGGTTTCGTCAGTCAAAACCATTTTATTCAAGAAATCCTCATTTGGATAGCTTGTAAGTAATAATTATACTAATCTTAGGCTTTATATATTCAGTTATATTAATCTAAGTTCTAACTAATTGCACTTGTTATGCTTCTATACCGCTTGTTCGAAAAAAAAAAGAAAAAATACTTCTATACTTTAACAAAAAATACTTCTATACCGCTTGTTCGACGCTATTGTTCCAAGCTTTAATTAACTTGTTTGATGCAAAAAAAGTACTCATTCTGTTTCATATTAAGTTATAGAAGTAATAAATCTTGATAAAGTCTAGTATTTCTTTCTTAAAAAAGTTAAACAGTATTACTCCAGAAAACTTTTTATAAAAATATACGGAAAGAGTATAGAGACTGTTGTACTGTGTACACAGTTTTGGAGAAAAAATAAAAAATAATACAGACATTTTGTCAGCTGAAATGGATCGATAAATTTCTTTGAATGCAGTAAACAATAAATGCGCCTAACATATTCTTTCGTATAGTTTATATATATATTCTCCCTAATAACACTATTGCTTTTTTCTCCTTTCCTACGATAAAGATATATAATAATTAATAATAACGTTTTCAAAAAACCTTTACATAAAAAACAAAAAAGCATTGAAATCTTCTTCCTATAAACGTCTCTTCTCTCTATCATCACTGCAAGAAACTTAATCACAACTCTCCTTTTCTCTCTCTCTCTCTCTCTATCTCTCCTTCTCATTTTAATGGCGACTCAAGATTCTCAAGGGATCAAACTCTTTGGCAAAACCATAACATTCAACGCCAACGTCCCACAGACGATTAAAAAAGAAGAGCCAGAGCTGCAAACAACAACAGCCGTTAAATCATCATCATCATCGTCGGATCTGACGGCGGAGAAGCGTCCAGACAAGATCATAGCATGTCCGAGATGCAAGAGCATGGAGACTAAGTTCTGTTACTTCAATAACTACAACGTTAATCAGCCAAGACACTTCTGCAAAGGCTGCCAGCGTTACTGGACAGCCGGTGGAGCTCTCCGGAATGTTCCCATCGGCGCCGGTCGCCGGAAGTCCAAACCTCCGGGACGTGTCGGTGGATTCGCCGAGTTGCTTGGCGCTGCGACTGGAGCCGTCGTCGATCAGGTCGACCTTGACGCTTTGCTGGTGGAAGAGTGGCGAGCTGCTGCGTCTCACGCTGGTTTCCGGCATGATTTTCCGGTGAAGAGACTCCGTTGCTACACCGACGGTCAATCTTGTTAATTATTTTAAAATTGTTATTTTGTTTTGTTTCGGGTTTGGGTTTGGGTGGTTTTTTTTTCTGTTTAACCCGTTTAGCAAGAACGTGGTTAAAATTCGCTTTGCTTTTTGCTTACTTGGATACGTACAGGCTAGCAACAAAAAGATTAATTAATTAATTAGGAAGTTTTAAAACACACTTGCTTCTCTAATCTCTACTAAACAGCTGTCGCTTTTTAATATTTCTCGTTGAATTTTTAGTTTGTAAATTGAAGCTCGTGGGATTTTTCATCTAAAAAGAAAGACGGTGTCGTTGACCATTAATTATCCCTTAAACTATTTATTTCGAGATCTGTATAGTATTATAGTACTATAATTAATGTCGATTGGATTAGCTAGTGGATAGTAATATTATAGCTCAATCTCAATTTAAGTTTCTGATCTCAGTAGCTTAATTTGTATATCATCGTTTAAGTGTACGTAAAGTTTATTAAAGATTATGGACGTTAGTCTGGTTTAACTTTTGATCAAGAAACCTCATTTAATTGGGCATTAAAGTTTTCACTTTTGAGCAATAAACTGAAAACCTACTTACAAAAGTAGAATAAGAAAATACTGCATTCGAAATGTTGTAAGATCACTAAACAAGTTTCTTTTTGTTATTTTTGTAAAGGGAAATACATTCACAAGTTCAAGTATAACTTTTAGTATAGGGAAAAGCACATTAATTTAGATCTTAACGAAAACTCTAATCCATCAAAATATATACCAAGATAAAACATTTATGGGTTATAATAGCATGTCACGCATTTTAGTGTTCGCTAAAAAGTGATTTTACAGGCTAATGATAAAGGTAAACAGAAAATGTCTAATCAGTTACATGATGTAAGACGATTTTTAAAATCGACCCCAAGTAAACGGCAACGAACCTAAGACCAAGACCGTCCCAAATTAACGAGAAATTTTCTTTAACAAAAAAAAAAGTAACTCGCGACTCCACAACCAAATTGTTCAACAGTGAGTATCACATTCGATGAGAAACTTAACACATCCGAGAATATTTAAGAATTTAATTTCATAATTTACGAGACACGAATTTAAAGTAGAATCATGAAGCTAACGAGAAAAGCTACTGTGTCTATTTTAAGCACATAAAAGACTTAAGACAGAAGAGACAACAAAATCAGGACTTGTGTGCAAGTCATGTCCTGTTTTGGGAAAATAAACGGTGGGTCCTGTGAATTGAGTTCTGGGTTGGTCAGATTTTATAAATGCATAGCGGACAAAATGAATCAAATGAAATCTGAAAAGAGTTAAAAACGAGAGGTTTTGGATAAAAGAAAAAGAGAACACAAAGTTTGACTTGTGAGAGGTTAATAAGAGAAGGAAACTTCAACAACCAGATGAAAACAAATCCTACAAAAAGGTCAAATAGTAACATCCGTATCTCAGAAGAACACATAAGCGAAATGACAGTTTTACTTCATCCATTTAAAAGACAAATAGTTTCTAAAATCGAAGCAAAGAGAAGTAAAGAGAGATAAAGACTGAGATGATTTTGGACTCATCACTCACTCAGGACATGATTTTGGCAGACCGGACATAAAGGCTGTCGACGACTTTCCCCATGTTAGCAATGGTGTCAAGAGTAGCAGAGTAGATAGCATCAGCCTTTGGATCTTCAAATATGATCAAGCATCCAGCTCCTTGATCCAACGTACCTGCAAATTTCTTGTCAAGTATCATCTGAGAGAGCTTCTTCTCCACATGGTCCAGAGGCAATCCAATCAGCTCAGCAATGTGAGCAATCTCAACTCTCGAGAAAGGCTCGATCAAACGGCACAGGTTCTGCTCAAGAAGCGTGTCGTAGAGAGAAGAGAGATGCCTGTGGACGATCGGGTCATCCTCTAGCTGCGCCTTGTAGTCACGGAGAGCGTTCTCAAACAGTTTCAACGACCTCTTCGAGTGAGCATCAGCGACTGCTTTCATGGCATCAAGATCCGGCCCAACGTACTGTAGTCCAGCCTTGGAGGAGATGATCCCCGCAACGTCATCAGCTTGGCTAACCATGATCTTGCACAGCAGCATGTATTTCAAACTGAAAACCGCTCTTGGATCTCCGAGAGCGTTGAAAGACTCAAACGCTTCGAAGAAGTAGCTGTATCCGGTTTTGTAGTCCTTCTCTTCAGCGTGAAGAATCCCGCTCTGGAGATCGATGGTGCCTTGTTGCGCCGGTGGGACGTAGATAGCGTTCGCAGCTGTTCTAGCTGCGGTGAGTGCAGCTTTTGCCTTTGGTAAGTTTCTCAACGAGAAGTGAAGTTTGCTCTCTAGCAAGTCAATGTCGACGAGAAGGAGCTTATCATCCAATCTCCTAACCTCTTTCACCAAAGTACTCAACAGCGCCAAGGCTTCAACATACTCCTTGTTCTCCATCAAAAGAGCAGCTAACCTAGCCTCCACTCGCTGCCTGAGGAAAGTACGCTTCTCAGCACGGGTCCACTCGACCATTTCTTTGCAGAGAGTGATCTGGAGATCGGTTGTTCCGGGGATCTTTGCCACGGCGTCGATGATTCCTCTGACGATTTTGGCGGTTTTGGCCTTGGGGATCAGTGAGAAGAAAGGTCTCAGTTTGGTTAACAGTTTACGGAGATCCTCGCCTCTCTTCTCTTCGGTGAGACGGTCACAGAGGTTAGTGATGGCTTGCTCCTTGACACGCACAGCCTCTGGAGATGAAGAAGGGTCTTCTATGACCTGGTACAGTATCGAAATAGCCTCCCTGCTGTTGGCTTCTTGAGCCAGGGTAAGCGTCTCTGTTGTAGCCGGATACGAAACCATTGTGTGTTTTGTGCAAACTCAAATCCCCTGCAACAAAGAAAGAGCCATACATGTGTTTATGCAATCTTTCAAATATTCATACTCTATATGTTGCCAACACTAAGTAACTTCATCTCTTGTTCATTCCAATAAACAAGATTATCATATAAATCAAGAACAAAGCATCAAAGACACTTAGAGATCCATCAAAGACGAGGTAAAACGAGGCTAAAAGAGCACAATTTCCGATTGCGAAGCACGTAATTTTGAGAAATAAGATGAAGATTCATCGAGTAGTTACTAAAATATTCAGTTCTAATTCTTCGATTCGTCTACTTTTAAGATCCGTTTCGTGCTAATCAGTGTAAGATGTTAGCTTAGGAGATCCTCGAGCTAATCCACAAATCGGATTTTCTTCACTAAGATTAAACTAAATTGAACAAAGCTAAAACCCTAGAAACTATGGGTAGAGGGAACCGGATTTGGATAAGAAATTGAAACAAATGGCATATAGATAAACGCAGAAACAATTAGATCTGATCAGAAAATTGAGAAGAACGACGAACTTACCGATGAATCGGCAGAAATCGTCGTCGTCGTCTGTGTGATTGGTGGTGGCTTCGAGCGACGGTAGAGAGAAAAGAGGAAGTCGAGATTCTGTCTTGAAAGGGAAGATAGAGATATACACTTTTCTCGTTGTTTTCAAAATATACAAAGGGTATACTTGTCATTGCCCATTTAGGAAACTGAAGTCAGGGATTAGAGAACGCTGAAATTCTGCGTCTCAAAAGTCAAGCGGTTCTTATGCCAGACGCCAAACGCTGCAAAAGATCCGCGTTTTCTACCAATCTAGTTTTTGTTTATCAGTCGCTGATTTTCGTTTTTCTTTAAGCTCTAAAAGTCATGCAAACGCATTTCGTGAAAACGCGCGGCATGGAAACGGTTGTTTTGTGATTCAGGCCTAGTGGTGGCCCAGGTGAAAAGCCCTATGAATGTTATTTGTTATTTTGAGTTGATAATTCACATACAACTTGTTTTCAATATCCCTAGCTATGAATGTTATTTGTTTGGAGTAAAATTTGTTTCTTACGTACGTCACGTCAATTTTCTATTGGAAGGTAATCAAATAATTCTTATAACAAGAACTCCCAAAAATTAAACAACAAAAACCAAAAAAAAAAAAAAGTTGGAACACAAACATAACATAAAAGAAAAAAAACATCGTTAGTTAAGAAATCTCAGACGACAACATACAAAATATAAATGCTTTTTATATAAAAAAAAAGGAGATAAAGAAATAAAAGTGTTGAGATATCGATGTATATGGGGAACGAATATATGAATTAAGAAGCTTAGAAGGTGACGTCAGGGACCATTCCAAGCTCGTTGAAAACTTTAGGACAATCAGCGAGAGGGGTCTTCCTCATGAACCCAAGTGGGTTAATGGTTCGAGTCTCGTTAGAGACAATGCCATCATTAGCAGTGAGACTGATCCTGGCTGCGTTTCTTAGGAACTCTTGGTTGTTCACTTCGCTACACTCTGGGTCCGGTGACTGGACGAGGACGATCTCGCACACTTCCTCTTCGTGGTCTCCCATAACTTCCATCTGGTAGTTTCCGATACTGTCGGTCACAGCTTCTTTGGTCAGTGTCACTGTCTGGTTCTCACGACCCTTGCACTCAAGCTTTACCTTTGCTCCTGAAATACATAACAACGACGAAGTAAGTTTCTTTCTAATCTTATAGAAACTTACACATGTGATGTGAATAACCAGGGTACTCGTGACGTTTGATGACGCTATGTCGTTTCAAACGATGCTGGTTTTTTGTCTTTTTCTTTTAGCGTCTAATAGAATTTAAAACAACTAACTGCGAAAAGAAATATAATTCTAGAAAATGAAAAATTGTATATAAGTTTATTGTATTGCAAAACGCAAAATCACGATATGATTGTATTAAAATGAAAAATAGTTTAAAACTACAAAACTGTGATTTGTTTTCTTTTTGTTTGTAAAATTATACGAAAATTAGCTTAAAAAAATATTTCTTTAAAAATCACCATATAAACTATATACAAAATATGAGTATTGTGTAAAAAAACATATTGCTTGAAATTATTTTCGTGTATTTTTCTTACTTTATAATATAAACAAACATTGAACTAAACCAAAATGGGATTTGTGTAATCTATAGATGTTCATCATATTGATTGTAGGGATCACATGATTCACATATATGCATATAGTTTATTAATAAAGAATGTAATGTCCTTAATATATATTACCTTCGAGGAATTTGCTGATGCGGGTAATGAATTGGACACGGCAGGTGTCGCAGTAGACGTTTCCTTTAATATGGAAACGGTCGAAGTCGTCGGCATCAGCGGCGGCGAAGTGAATGAGTGTGGTGAAACATAGGGCAGAGGCAAGGAAGACGATGAAAAATTTGGCCATTATTATGCCTTAATCCTTTTTTTTTCTTGTGTTTTTACTTAGGTCTTCTCCTCTCTTGGTTTTTGTGGAAGTTTATTTGTAAATTTAGTTTTGGGGGTGAACAAATAGTAAGCTTTGGTTGAGATTAGACGCTATGATGCAACCAAATATTTCCTTATATAGAGAACAAATAGACAAAACAACAAAACATGTGGTTTCAAATCTATTTTTGGAAGTGCTTGTTTATTTTTGGTGTTTGTGCTCTTGAGTTTTGTACGGTTCTGTATTCTTTGAACCCGATCTTTTCTCATTGCCATCTATTATTTTCTGTTCATAATTTATTCTCTTGTAGTTGAGTCTAGTTTTGTGGTTAATGGATTCAATTTTCTGTATGTCTTTTAATGTATAAAATTCAGTTATATGTAGTCGAGTCTAGTTGTTTGCCATCTATGCATGTGGGTGTCGAACCAGAATTATGTTTATAAATTTGAACTGTACATCAAGCTGGGGTAGCTCAGTTGGTTAGAGCGTGTGGCTGTTAACCACAAGGTCGGAGGTTCGACCCCTCCCTCTAGCGACTCTCATTTTTCACCCAAAAAGTGAAAAAAATAGAGTTCCACTTTTTTTTTTGCATCTCAGCTATCATTATTTTTTTTTATAAGGGAGAGAAGAAAAAAAATGGAAGCAATAAGTACCGTATAGCTTCAAAATGAAAAAAAATGAGTTGAGCAAAAAAGTCTAGAGCTAGATATGAATCTGTGATTTTGAATTGTTGGAAAAATAAAATATACAAAAACCAAACTATAGAGGTTGTTGTACAAGAGATCTGAATCTATAACATATTTCAAGTGTTGTTGTTACTTGTTGTATCATCACCAAGCTAAAACAAGAAAACAATGTACAGATGAATCGTATTATTGTATTTGTACTTCCTCTGTTTTCGCCAAAGTAAAAGAAAATCGAGAACGCAGCAAACTTTCTTGATCCGCACCAATCTCCCAAACTGTATAGTAAAAAAAAAAGGACGAGGAGGGCAGTAACCGGTTAAACCTTATAAGCTGGCGGTAATAAACGTCGAAGTCTCTTGCTGTTTGATGCTATCTGCAACATGCGCAACAACTCCAGCTCCTGCTTTGTAAAGTCTTTCACTTTTCACCTGAACAAAGACCAAAACCTCTCTCTCTCTCTTAGTCCATATTAAAACAGCTCCAAATTAGATGAAGATGTTGGAAGTTTACATGAATGTTGTTATGAGCTAAGTAAGGCCAGAAAGTGGAGTGGAAGCTGACATCAACTTTCTTCCACCCTAAAGTCTGCAAACCACGGATCATTTCATCTGCCAATATTCGTCTTAACTGTTAATTTCTTGCTGATTTAGAAGAACCAAACAAATGTTTGCGATAATAATTCGCTTTTTTCTTCACCTTCCACTATTTCATGGTACTCGAGTGTGGTCTGAGGGCTAGGCGAGCTTTGTGCGGCTTCCTTGGCTTTAGCAGCTTCTGGAGGGAAATGGGCTCCCTCTGATGATACAGGTGGACAGTATACTACATCCACAACGTGCTTGTATCCATCTAGAGACCGTCGTGGAGGCTGCGTGTAACATGAAAACATGGATAAACCACTTCTATCAGTCTTACTCTTTAAAAGCTAAATAGTTTGAATACACCAACCAATCTTCTCTAAGCAATTTGAGAGAAACCGAACTGCCAAAAATATCTTCTATGATCTTAAAGAAAGGTCTTGAATAAAGGGAAATGTTTTCCCTATGACCATTCACCACCATGAACATCTCACAACAAACTAACATTGGTAAGTCCCTTTTTCTAGCTAGTGTGCTACAAGTTTCAAAGTCGATATCAAGTTATATACAACTTGTATAATACAAGGAACCGGAAATCAAATAGGATTAACATAAAAAGCTTTTTTTGTTGCTTCGGATTAAATTTAACGTACCTTGAAAAGTTCGGTTTCTCTCCTTATGGAAGAAGTACGCCAACCAACCATGTCTAGTTGATGTCAAAGGAAACGGTTAAGAAAACAAACGCAGACAACACTAGGAATCATGCTCGAAACAAGTTAAACAGCAACATAAACACACAGGATACGGTCATAAGATACGTTTGCATATACAATCCGGGATCGAAACGCCCCTAGAGCCGATCTGCCATACAAGGATATAAATGACGATTTCAAATAAGTCATCATTGTGGGGTATAATGATTGATAATTTGCTAAGAGCCATTCATTACTCACAAGAACTTCAGATCATCAGCGTCAGATGCCATCCTCAAGAGCAGGGGTGGTTTATAAGCTTTTCCGTCAGTGAGAAACAACTGGCTCCCAGTCCGGCCAACAAAGAACGGAGCTATTGGTGCAGCAAGTTTTTCCAGTATAGGAACTCCTAACAGAAAAGGTAGCTGAAACAAGAGATACAATTTTTAGGAACCACCAACTTCTTTCTCAACTAAGCATACAAACATAGAGAAACTATCTGATTCCAATTAGGATCAGAGAAGAAGAAGAGAACCTGTTTTCTGCCTCTCACTCCTAGATGAGGAGTTGCCAAGGTGATGAAATTCATGGGTTCGAGCCCGGCAATCCTACCTTTCACAAGATGTGAGTTCCCAGGTTTAGAGACAGCACCGTCACTGGCCTGTGACATTGCCGCTGAGTAAAGAACAGCAACGGCGTGTCTAGCGAACAAGCCGCCGAGGGAGTGGGCTAGAAAGGAAATCTTCTTTAAGCTCTTGCTCTTTTGGACAACTTGTCTAACCTATTCATCTCTCACATCAGAAATGGGAACAGAGATCACAGTTAAGGAGTAGAAATGACATTGTAGGAATAAAAAAAAAACTCACCTCTTCCGCTAGTCGCTTTCCAGCTCCGTCAACACCACCAAATGTTTTAGTGAAAGTGTTGGAAGAACTTGCTGTGCATGTTCAGGGGAAACAGAGTAAAATTAAAAAAGCAATAGGTGTGATTTAAACCTGGAATACAAGAACAAGAGTACAATAGAGAATAAAGAAGAGTAACAAAAATGACTTGTGGTCTTCCATACACAGTAGTACACTCCAACAAGTGCTCAACTAACAGAGGAAAGTTGAAAGGAAGATGAGCATATACCATAAATCAAGAATCGTCTTCCAAGGCGTCTTTTCATCTCAGCTTCTACGTAGAGCCAGTCGCTGGGACTGCAAGTAATGGTGTCACAAGTTGCAAATTCTCAATATGCAAAATCATTCACAAACAAATTGACATGTAAGACATCATCATATACCTGGCCAAGATACCATGTACAAGAACAAGAAGGTGATCAGGTTCATTTTTCTCATCCGTGTCGCCTTTCGATACCGAAAAATTCCGTTGGGCTGTGGCACTCATTGCTTGCACCCTGAGTCCCTCTAGGTTCCAGTTTTTGCTTGACCCTGCTTGCACAGAAATCAAACAAATGAACACCAACAGGTCATCATTTTACCATCTCTCGGAGCTTCTCTGCACTGAAATTGATTCCCCTATACAAATCACATGATACTACTATCGATTTATTCAATTGATCAAGCCTAATCCTCAGCTAGTACAGAGACAGATTCAACACTATCAATTCCAACTCTCAAGATCCACTATTCATTCACATGATCGAACAAACCAATCCGTCAAATCCACACGACAAACACTAAACGAGCATACACGACTCAGAATCGAAACCAATTACCGAATTCGAAATTGAAAATCTCCGAATAACCACAAGAGCACGAGGAGGACGGCGATGAAGAAGAAGACGAAGACGGAGAAGAAGCTGAAACGACGCCAGGAAACTGCCGCGCTCTGCCGGAGCTTCGTCGCTTAGCGAAACGACCACGATCTGGTAAGTATCTACAAGGAGGTTGAATCCAGGAAGCCGTAGACATTGATACACGACTTGAGCTTTATATATAAACAGAGAGAGAAGTCAAAATCAGAGAAAGATCCTTCAATCACGGTTTTTCAGAGTGACGTCAGCCTACAGAACCATCCATGCCGCTACGTTATCCTCATCACAGAGACCCATGCTCTCTCTCTCTCTCTCTCTCTCTCTCTGTGGTTTTTATTTCCCCAATTTTGCCAAAAACAATCAATCATCGACTTACCAAATTTTCTGGGAGTAAAATAATTTCGGCTGCTGTTGATAAGCGACTCAAGCACCTTACAAAAAAGAGAAAAAAACACAGAATATTTTAATCGTCCAGAAAACGATCGAAAGATTGGAACGTAGGAGTTTTTGGAGTTTTATATTCAAAAGTTTAAATTCGGACCAGATTCTTTCATCTCCCAAAACTCCAAAACGAAGCCATATACTCTTTGTTTTTGTTTTTTTTTTTTTTTCGTTCGTATTAACCAAATAAAATCTGCAAAACTCTTGTACCTACCCTCAGAATCTTTGTTCGTTTTTTTTTAATAGAATTGAGTTTTTTTAGATCCACAAAATTTTGTTTAGCTCTGGTAGTATTCTTTGCTCCACGGTAAGCTTATTGATTGAACCGTTATGATCGGCCCAATTCTGTTTGACATCATCGTTCAAAAAGCGCAAAAAGCGCAACAAGAATGAATTTTTATCTTTACCTTCTTGGGTATCTCCCATTTAGTGTGAGAGATAGCTACCCAATCAATTCACTACTGTTAGAAAAAAAATAAAAAAAAACTATATAGAACATTAAGAAAAAATCAAGAACAACTAACAAAACCGTATAGTTCAACATCAAAACAAAGTCCGCTCACAAAACATTCATACAAGTTATGTATATGCAATTACCTAGTTACTTTACATTCAAACAAGTTATGTAAAAAACAACACACATAATGATAGAGACAAAAACTTTTACCCAAACCTGATGATAACTTTTCTTGTAAAGCGTTATGTTTGGAGACCGATAGCGTATGCACTATATATATTTAATATTTATATGAAATTAACTAAGGAAAATATAATCTCAAAAGGTTTTTTTGTCAAATCAACAAAAAAATGTTTTTAATCCTTGTCA